CAGAGAGCACTGTGGTCTCAAACAATGATGGATCTTGACCAAGCTTTGCACAAATACTCAATATTCCCAAATGTGAACACTGATGGAGTTTGTGGAAAATAGACCGTGGCATTTGGGAGTTGTAGTTGCTGGAATTTATAGTTCACCTATAATGAAAGAGAATTTTGAACCCCAGCAACGATTGAATTGGGCCAAACCTCCCACACAAAACAGAAAATACTGTGTTTTCTGATGATCTTTGGTAACCCCTCTGACATCCCAACCCCCAGATTGAGAAACGCTGATATAATACAATTCCCTGCTAATTTAAGAATCCACAGCCAAAGCATCCCTGAAAGATGACCATCCAACCTTTGCTTAAAAACCTCCAATGGAGGAGTGTTCACCACCCTCAAAGTTGAACTATGCCATGTTCAGACAGCTCTTAACATCATTAAATTATTCCCAAGGTTTTAATAATTTCTAAGCTATCTTTATCTCCTTTCCAGTGGAACCCATACATTTGGATAGAACCATCTGCTGCTTTGGTGGATTATTCACTCTTGTTTGTTAGTATTAGTTACACTTTTTCCTATACACAAGAACTTGGTTATCTTTCCTATCCTCCTGACATTCCCCTTGTAGCCTACATTTGTTGTTGTATGCCTTCAAGTTGAAAGATATGTCAGGATGTGCGAAATTATAGATTTCCCCCCTACTTAATTGCATATTTGTCTCTTTCAGGTGTACAGCAGAAATACATTGTTGTCACCTGTAATTATGAAGCCAGAAGCTTTGGGGTCAATAAACTCATGTCTGTGAAAGAAGCAAAAGAAAAGTGCCCTGACTTGTTGCTGGTTAATGGAGAAGATCTGACAAAGTATCGGGAAATGTCTTATAAAGTTACAGGTATTGCCTCAATCTTGGTTATTAGTGCATAATGGTAGAGTTCCTTGCTTCTTCTTTTTTCCTGGATGTATAGGGCCATTTCACATAGCCATATAACCCAGAATATCAAGGTAGATAATCCACAGTATATGATTTGAACTGGGTTATCTGAGTCCGCGCTGCCATATAATCCAGTTCAATGCAGATTGTATACAGCTGTATGGAAGATGTCATTGTTATATTTGTCCGGAGGCTTAAGCCATAGGTACATTTCTTAGGCCCCTTCCACACTGCCCTGTATCCCAGGATTTGATCCCAGATTATCTACTTTAAACTGAGTCTTTAAAGCCAGATAATCTGGGATCAGATCCTGGGATATAGGGCAGTGTGGAAGGGCCCTCTGTCTCTTTATTTGGAGCTTGACCATAACTCAGTGGTGGAGCATGTACTTGTATTCATAAGGTCCCAAGTACATTGCTCACAATCCCTTGAACTTCAGGAGTCTAGGTTCTAGTCCCAGAGTCCTTTCCTGTTTTTGAAAATGAATGTCACAAGAGACAAATCTTAACAGTTAGTGTTATTGGCTGTGAGGATGTTGAGCCTGAAATGTGCATTTTTTCAGGTCTGAGTTTACATCTGGATATCTGGGGCCAAGGCCAGATACCTGGTAACTTGATCAGTGAGCACATCTGCTCTTTGGTGAGCCTAATGAGGAGCACTAGGCAAGCTGCCATGAAAATTTTCCTGCTGGGTTGTGGACAGCAGTGATCCTATCTAGTGAGCCAGGAGCCAAGGGATGGAACTAGTAATTAGCACCAGAGGACAAACCTGGAGACAGAATTGAGAAAGAAGGCAGAAATGAGAAGACCACATCAAGACAGGAGATTCATGCTATAAAATCCCATGAATGTTTGCCATGAGTTGTAGTTTTACAACATCTTTAGCCATCCCTGCCAAAGAATGCTGGTGCCCCACCAGTCTACGAATCCCAGGATTTCATAAGATTGAGCCACGGCAGTTAAAGTGGTGTCAAACTGCATTCTACATTGTAGATGCACCCTTCCCCTGTCTTCACAAAAGGATTCCATAACAGATGTCTAGAGATCCTCAGTAGGAATTGTGAGAGTTGAAATCCACAACTCCTGGAGGGCCAATGTTTGCCCATGCCTGTCCTAGCCCATCAGTATTATTTATCATCAGGTGCATGGGCATAGTGTTATAACAGAAGTTAAATGAGAAAGGTACATGGGGGTGTAACATACAAGTTGTTCTCAAATCTAAAGCATTCACCTTGTTGTGCTAAGGCTATAACTTAGGTTAATATCCTGGGTTTTGGCGCAGCTGGTTGGGAGTCAACTGCATTAAAGTCACTACTGACTGAAAGGTCATGAGTTCGAAGCCAGCCCAGGTTGGAGTATGCTCCCGACCATTTGTCTAGCTTGCTGTCGACCTTTGCAGCCCGAAAGACTGTTCCATGTGTCTAGTGGAAATTTAGGAACCACTTATGCGGGAAGGCTAATTTGACTAATTTACAATGCCATAAAACTCTCCAGCAGTGTGCAAAAGAATGAGGAAGTACTGCATTGGTGTCACAAGTGGATGGCGAAGTGACAGCTCCCCCGGTGGCCAGAATTTGAAGCATACCCTCATGAAACTGGAAAGTTAAATAGCCTCTCTGTGTCTGTCTATCTAGGTTGTGTGTGCATGGCATTGAATGTTTGCCATGTATATGTGCATTGTGATCCGACCCGAGTCCCCTACGGGATGAGAAGGGTAGAATATAAATACTGCAAATAAATAAATAAATAAATAAAAATATCCCACCACAGTTGCTACGTTAACTCAACCACATGCCTTTGTGTTTATTTACAGCATTACTGGAAGAGTTTACTCCATTGGTAGAAAGACTTGGATTTGATGAAAATTTTGTGGATATCACAGAGCTGGTAGACTTGAAACTAGAACAGTGGAAGAAAGATGCTTTTTCTAAAATCAGTTTCTCTGGTCACATATATAATAAACAGAGTAAGTATCCTTATGGCCAAAATATCAGATGGGCAACAAAAATTACACAAATATTGTTTCTTATATGAGTTTTGTTTAATTTATGTCAGGCACAATATTTTATTTGTGTGAGAATCAAAGTTGTCTCTGTCCCAAAATTAAACCTGAAATGAGACTGAAATGAATCTGAATAAACGTCTGGAGTTAACATGCCACCACTCACTTCAGTTCTTTATTCAAGAATGGAATACTGGAGAACGGGCTTTAATAAACCAGGATGCAGGGATAAAGAATAATGGTGTTTTTAAACAGAGATCTCGACATCACCCTATTTAGGAATGTAAATATTCATCATTCACTCACAAAACTGTGTCCACTATTGTTTGTGAGTTGAGTGTGCATTTGATATATCTTAATATCTCCTGTCTATTGATAAACAACAAATAGAAAAAAATATATAATGGTTCATTGATTTCCTTTATTAGAGGTTTGGGTTTTCAAAGTAAGATTTGAATATTGGTCCAAATCAAGTTAAGTAGTCTCTGATGACTTGGGTAATTTTCCACATTACTGAATTGAATTCCAAGTCAAACTTTGGGGTTGTATCTACTACTATTACCGTATAAACCAGAGCCCCCGGTGGCACAGTGGGTTAAACCCCTGTGCCGGCAGGACTGAACCGATAGGTCACAGGTTCTAATCCGGGGAGAGGCGGATGAGCTCCCTCTATCAGCTCCAGCTCCTCATGCGGGGACATGAGAGAAGCCTCCCACAAGGATGATAAAAACATCAATTCATCTGGGCGTCCCCTGGGCAATGTCCTTGCAGACGGCTAATTCTCTTATACCAGAAGCAACTTGCAGTTTCTCAAGTCGCTGCTGACACGACCAAAAAAAAACAACCATATAAACATTTATTATTTTACTCTATTATTACTGTTATTTTTACATTTCCATTATTTTACTCTATTTTTATTTTTATTATTTTACTCCTTATTATAATTTGAATAGTTGTTCTGTCGCCACTGGGTCCAAACAAAATGTCTTTATTCTATAGAACGCACACTTTAAACCCAGTGGGAAGCCGGGGTGCCCGAAGAGAGATTGTTAGAGACTTCCAAAAGTAATGGGCCTTAGAGTCTTTAAAAGTACAACAGTCTTTATTAAGGAACAAATCTTCAAACAAAACTTCACGGCTTTACTATTCAAGTCTTTAAGAGACTGGCACTAACTTGGTTTGACTGTACTATCTCATAAGGAAGAACTCTTTATAATCTCTCCCAGGCCGTCCATCACCTAGGCCTCGCTGGTCTGGGTAATACTGCCGATCCCCAAATGCGTCTGGAAACCGAGTAACCTACTAGACGAAGCTAGAAGATGTTTAGCTGGAATTCTGTGGTTCTGCAGTGATGTCCTGTGGAAACTTCAGGGCTGTTTTCCTCTGGTGCTGTGAGGCTGAGAGGCTGTGAGCTCTCAGCCAGAGCGTTTGGGACCTTTTCCTTCTGTTTCCCTGGAACTGGATGGTCACTGGATGACCCCTGGATGGTCGCTGGATGGACCCAGGATCACCTTTGGATGATCCCCGGATGGCTATTTCTATTTCCCCGGAAGGTTTTGAGGAATGAAGCCTTTCCTACGGGACTAGCTGATCTGCGTCCTATAGACTGGCTTCCTTGTGTGACTGAAAATAGGCCCCTTCCCTCCAAAAGGCAAAAAGGGGGCGGGACCAGGGATCCTAACTATAACTGGCAGGTGGCTTACCCTATAAATGCAAATTATAACAGGAAAACCCCTGCTGCAAAATCCCAAGCATGGGTTTGCACACAAACATGTCTCATAAGGAAATAAATCTGGAGCTCCTGGAACAGCTGTTCCAGAACAATATGTAAGTACATTTACATTGAAGAAGATTAGAATAATGGTTTAAATCAGAGTTGGGCAGTGTTAAATTACAGTTTTATGTAAATATTCAAAAACATTTAACCAACTGATGCCTCAATTAATATAATGTTATTAGTATCTATTTTTATTTTTGAAATTTATCAATAGCTGCTGTATTTACCTTTGGCTTATACTCGAGTTAATATGTTTTCTTAGTTTTTTTGTGGTAAAATTAGGTGCCTTGGCTTATATTCGGGTCGGCTTACACTCAAGTAGTAAAAGGTAAATTTTTCCTCTGACATTAGATCTAGTGCTGTCTGACTCTGGGGTGGTGCTCATATCTATTTCTAATCTGAAGAGCTGGCATTGTCCCTAGACACCTCCAATGTCATGTGGCCAGCATGACTGCATGGAGCAGCAGTACCTTCCTGGAGAAGCAGTATCTATTGATCTACTCACACTTGCATGTTTTCAAACTGCTAGGTCTAACAGCGGGAGCTCACCCCATTCCCCGGATTCAAACTGCCAACTTTTCAGTTAGCAAGTTCAGCAGCTCAGTGGTTTAACTCGCTGTGCCCAATACTCGAGTAAATATGGTATAATTTTTTGTACTACTACTTAAGTGTACAATTGGTTTTCCATATCCATAGATCCCAAGTCCACGAATCCCTGATATCTAAATTGTGATGAAGATGGATAATGTAGAAACGAGTCTTTGGGAGGGAATGAAATAAAAATTGTCTATATTGCCTCCAACGTGTCTTATTATGTGCTAAAAGAAGATAATTAATACTAAATCATTTCAAGATGCTTTTTGTTTGCTTTGCAGCAGTCAATTTGCATGATCCAGTGCACATACGATTAGCTGTGGGATCTCATATTGCAGCAACCTTGAGAGAAGCCATGTATCACAGGCTGGGCCTTACAGGTTGTGCAGGAGTGGCAATCAATAAATTGCTCTCCAAATTGGTGTCTGGGACCTTTAAACCAAACCAGCAAACTGCTCTCTTGCCTGAAAGCCACCAAGACCTGATGCTCAGCCTTGACCACATTGGAAAAGTGCCTGGTAAGATGGGAGGAAGTACTTCTGCCTCAGTTTGGGATCACTGTAAGAAGAAAGGCACTCGGAACAGCCGTATTACAACTTTCTAAATTTTGTTTTCTTAATAAAATATGGAATATTGTGATGTTTGTGACAGAATAAAGGGAAACTAGAAGTGATAAGGAAAATTAGGGAATTAAACCGTTCAAGAATCTGATACTTTAAATAAGAGTCTTGAGATTACTGGATGGGCTTCCCTTTTCTGAAAATCTGAAAGACTCCCCAAACCCACCTTTTTGCTGCTACAGCTGCTTTTGCCTTTGAGGAAATGGGTTTGGCTTCACATCCGCACCTGTTGAGTTCATTCACTGTGTTTTTGCAAATATAGGTATTCCAAAAACTGAAAATCCAAAAAAACATGTGGTCCCAAACATTTTAGATAAGGGAAACCCAACTTGTAGTTGGGCTTGGGGTTGAAGATGTGAAATCCTGCCTCTTCTCGGCTAGATATGGATGAAACAAAGGTCAGACTGTGTGATTGACTCTCTCCTGGGTTTCACAAGGAAAGAATACTTCTCCCTTTAAAGCTCTTTAGGAAATGATTCTCAACACTTCTGTAGAATGGCATCCTATACTTTATACCAACTTAAAACAGATATTGTCAAAGGCTTTCATAGCTGGAATCACTAGTTGTTGTAGGTTTTTTTGGGCTATATAGCCATGTTCTAGAAGCATTTTCTCCTGACATTTCGCCTGCATCTATGGCAACCATCCCTAGAGGTTATGAGGTGAGGTTGTGAGGTGAGGTCACCTCACAACCTCTGAGGATACTTGCCATAGATGCAGGTGAAACGTCAGGAGAGAATGCTTCTAGAACACGGCTATATAGCCCGAAAAACCTACAACAACCCAGTAAAAGCAGATACATTCTATTAGTTCTTGAGTTGTGATTCATAGATTAGATGAATGTACGGGGTCTAGTTTCTGTTATTGTTGTATGCTGTCAAGCTGTTTCTGTCCTATGACGGGTTTCACCTAAGTTTAACCTGTCATATGGTTTTCTTGGCAAGATTTATTCAGAAGAGGTTTGTCATTGCCTTCTCCAAGGTTCTGTGTGTGACGTGCCCATGGCCATCCAGTGTTGGAGGACATAGAGATTCCTGAGGAGGTAACCTCTAGGAATTGTTTAGGTCCTCCAATGTAATTCTGTGGTAACTTCTTGGGAAAACATACCACGGATTCACCTGGGGAACATAGCACTTTCTTAGATTGATCATTTTCCCAAGGTGTGGATAAGTGAAAGTGGATATGGATTCTGTGTCTTATTATATAAGCTTTTGGACGCATCTTTCCTCAACCTCACTCTGGAGAAATATGCTCCAGCCCATCTCCTGCATAAATTGCCACCAATAAAGTTTATCTTATAGGTGTAGAGCATAGCAGTGGTTAGCACTAAACAAAGTCGTGGGAGACCTGGAGCTACACTCAGTTCCTGAACAAAACAATAGTGTTTGAGGGTTGGTGGTGGATACGCTTTAGCCTCTACCTGTGTCATGCAAATCCTAAGCCAACTGGCATGTGTCCACATCACATAGCAGAGCATGACATGGAGTATAGGCTCCCCTAAGTCTACCCAGTGCAGCCTCACACTGAGGCATGTTCTTGTTTTTGCTTCAGTTATGTTGGGAAATGCTCATATTGTCAGGACTTTTCCTCCCTTTGTGCAGGTATTGGTTATAAAACTACAAAGCGCCTCATGACGCTGGGAATCAGCACTATGAGTGATCTCCAGTTGTGTTCTGCTGCGATACTAGAAAGAGAGCTAGAAGGTTTGGCTGCACAACATATCCAGAAACTTAGTCGGGGAGAAGATGACTCCTTGGTCACACCGTCAGGGCCCCCTCAGGTATATCTGAAAACACAGCTTATCAAATCAACGCATTCTTTTGAAAGCTTGGAATGGTTACTTTCTTTGGACTGCAGCTCCCATCATACCCAGATACTGGCTGTGCTGGTTCTGGGAATTGTAGTCAAACATGCATGCTCTGTGTGCACATTCTCTCTTTCTGGACATCATTTCCCACAGCCCTTCACTAGCTTAGTACTGGGATGGGAAATGTTCCAGATACAGGGGTCAATATTGTGCCTTTATGAGACCCACATGGACTGTTACCCACTCTTCCCGAGCATCTAAACGTTCACTTCTTGTTTTGAAAAAAATACTATTTTAAAGTTATTTGAACAGATGAATTGCCATGCTTGGAAAACTCCAGTAGAGGCAATTCAGATTTTTTTTGCTAGTGGAATGACAGTCTGTGAAATGTGGAAGGATGAAGGGCCACAAAACAACCTTCAGGGCCTCATGAAACACAAGCTCTCACACTTTCCCATCCTCTGGTTTAGCTTGACAGGCAAACTACCCTTAGGTAGCTGGTCATCTTTATTTTATGCTGTAATTGAATCATGCCATTTTCTATTGGCTCTGGTTTCCCAGACAGGGATTCTAGGAGACTGCACTCTGTGTAAACGTGCCTTGTCCTTGCATGAACCTCATCCATCACATCATCAGACATTTTCACGATGTTTGAGTAACGACAGGTGGTTCATCTGAATATGACCTTTGGCCAACTCAGTGCAGTATTTCAAAGGTGACTGAACAGGGTAACTCTTAGGGATGCATTGTGGTGGAGAGGAAAACCCAACCGTAGAAGAATGTTTAGATCAAAAATGTCCTTCTTTTCTGAGTTCTGGATTTAATTGTTTGCTTTGTAGTAACCCTACTTTGTTCTGGTCTCTTCACATCTTGATTTTGCAGTCCCTGAGTGATGAAGACTCCTTTAAAAAGTGCTCTTCTGAAGCAGAAGTGAAAAAGAAAGTTGAAGAACTGCTCACTAACCTTTTGCACAGGTGAATAGTAGCTGTTTTTTTTAAAAAAAAACTAGTAAAGTACAGACAGTCCCCAAGTTATGAAGAAGATAGGTTCTGTAGGTTTGTTCTTAAGTTAAATTTGGTTGAAAGTCAGAACAGGTACATTTTTAAAGTGTAACTCCAGCCGGATATCTCTCTTAAAGCTTTGTATACCATAGGAAAAGGTTAAGAACCCTGTGGTGTTTATTTTGCTGTCTGTGCCCTTATTTATTTATTTATTTATTTATTTATTTATTATTCGAACTTCTATGCGGCCACTCCCCTGGGGCTTGGAGCGGCTTACAAGAACAGGCTAAAATCTAACACAATTGAAAAACAATTTAAAACAATTTAAAAACAGCAATATCAAAAATCAAAGGCCTGTCGAAACAGGTATGTCTTACATGCCCTGTGGAAAGCTGATAAGTCCCGCAAGGCACGGACTTCAGGTGGCAGAGTATTCCAGAGTGATGGTGCCACTGCTGTAAAGGCTCTGCGTCTGGTTGCTGTTAGACGCAAGGTCTTGACACTGGGAATTTCCAACAAATCTTGGTCCTCAGAACGGAGGGATCTCTGGGGTTGGTAGGGGGTGAGGCGGTCCCTCAGGTACATCGGCCCCAGATTCCTATGATAATTGGATTTTGAAAAATTTAGCTTGTTACGGAAACAAGGATTTGTGATGAAACTTTAGTGGAGACCCCTTTTTCCTATGACAACTCTTTTGGGAGTGACTTTCACTTCTGACGGGTAGATTTCTCTCATTTCCTGTCGTCTCATACCTGTTCTTAACTATATTAATATATAAGTCAGATCTTTGTAACTCTGGAATTGCCTGTATGTGCCTTCAAGTCACTTGGCAACTTACAGAAACCTTGTGAATACCATAAGTGTTTCTTAGGCAAAGAACAATCACAAGTAGTTTGTCATTGCCTTCCTCTGAAACACAGCTTACATGGTATTGTCCGGCAGTGCCTCTTCCATATAGTAATCAGACCTGACCCTACTTAAGTTCTGAGATCAGATAAGATCTGATGTACTGAGGATATTTAGACTAATTTAACACAATGTATAACCAGAACAGATTTTTGGGCGTAATGTAATCTTATTTTTGTATTTTTGAAACCCTTAGTGCCATTTCTTGGCTATAATTTATTGTACGCTGCCCAGATTGATTCTTTTCTTCACTTGCAGTAACCTGAAATCTCATTATACATAATAGCATAATTACATGGTGAATTTGTAATCCCATTAAATCACTGCCCCAGTCTGGTAAGAAGTATTCCTGCCCTGCTGTGGCTTTTTCTCATGTTTAGGTCAGTTCTGAAACACTTTCAAAATAATGAGCCATTGGGCTCCTGTCGTCATGTTATACCCATTCCTTTGTGACATACTTGTTGCTTTTATAATCCTGCATTGCTGTATATCAGTGGTAAACTGGCTGGGATTTCCTAACAGCTGGTAAACTGGCTGGGATTTCTGGGAGTTGTAGGCCAAAACACGTGGGGACCCACAGCTGAGAACCACTACTGTATATCCATCTTGACATTGCTAATAGTCCACATGGATTTATCAAAAACAAGTCATACCAGACTAATCTGATCTCCTTTTTCGATAGAGTTACAAGCTGGGTAGATGTGGGGAATGCTATGGGTGTAGTCTATGTGGATTTCAGTGAAGCCTTCGACAAAGTCCCCCATGATCTTCTAGCAAACAAACTAGTCCAATGTGGGCTAGGCAAAACTACGGTTAGGTGGATCTGTAATTGGCTAAGTGAACAAACCCAACGGGTGCTCACCAATGCTTCCTCTTCATCCTGGAAAGAAGTGATGAGTGAAGTGCCATTAGCAGGGTTCTGTCCTGGGCCCGGTCCTGTTCAACATCTTTATTAATGACTTAGATGAAGGATTAGAAGGCAGGATCATCAAGTTTGCAGATGACACCAAATTGGGGGGGATAGCTAATACTCCAAAAGACAGGAGCAGAATTCAAAACGATCTTAACAGATTAGAGAGATGGGCCAAAACTAACAAATGCAAGAAATTCCACTTTGGCAGAAAAAATGAAATGCAAAGATACAGAATGGGGGACACCTGGGTGACAGCAATATATGTGAAAAAGATCTTGAAGTCTTCGCGGACAAAAAGTTAAACATGAGCCAACAATGTGATGCGGCAGCTAACAAAGCCAATGGTATTTTGGCCTGCATAAATAGGAGTATAGTTTCTAGATCCAGGGAAGACATACTACTCCTCTATTCTGCCTTGGACATACCATATCTGGAATACTGTGTCCAATTCTGGGCACCACAGTTTAAGGGAGATGTTGTCAAGCTGGAATGTGTCCAGAGAAGGGTGACTAAAATGATCAAGGGTCTGGAGAACAAGCACTATGCGGAGTGGCTTAAAGAGCTGGGCATGTTTTCTGCTGTTTTCTGGTGCCCTGGAGAATAGGATATGAAACAATGGCTTCAAACCACAGGAAAGGAGATTCCACCTGAACATGAGGTAGAACTTTCTAACTGTAAAAGCTGTTCAGCAGTGGAACTCTCTGCCCTGGAGTGTAGTGGAGACTTCTTCTTTGGAGGCTTTTAAGCAGAGGCTGGATGGCCTACGAGGTCTCTTCCGACTCTATGATTCTATGATATAGTTTCGAGGTCTGTTTTCCTAAGTATGGTAGAATATACACTTCTCTTTCTTCAGCCAGGTTAGACTGTAATATTTGCAAAGTATTTGCATATGAATGCCTGTTTACTTCCCCATATTTTTGTCAGATTATGCAAGGATGGGAGGAAGCCCCATACAATACGATTGACTCTACGGCAGTTTTCACCTACTAATAAATGGTTTAACCGAGAGAGCCGTCAGTGCCCTATTCCATCTCATCTGATTCAGAGGATTGGAACAGGTAATTTCTGATTGTGGTGTTGTTCTTGTAAAAAAAAATTCATGCATTTAATTTGCACAGTGTTGCGCAAAAATAAAATATACACCCGTGTGCCTTTAAGCCATTTCTGACTTAAGGCGATCCCGACGAACCGGCCACAGGATTTTCTTGGCAAGAATTGTTCAGGGGGGTTTGCTTTTGCCTTCCTTCATGGATGAGAAAATGTGACATGCCCAAGGTCATCTAGAGAATTTCCATGGCGAAACAAGGATTCAAACCCTTGGTAAAGAAAAAATTGTAACCGAGATTTAAAAACAGTGGCTGACATAATAGAAAAATACCTGTTGGCAATGGAAACAAGCAATGGGATCCCTTTTTCATATGTGGTAGTCCTGCAAGGAGGCAAAAAATTGGATTGAACTTCATCAAATTATAGAAAAAGTATAAAAATTAAAAATGCCCATGCATCCAGAGGCATTCTTACTAGGCATAACAGATAGATTGCTTTTGAATACATATGACAGACTTTTCATCCTGATGACAACTGCAGCATGAATTGTGTATGCATGGATATGGAAACTAGAAGAAACACCAAAAATTGAAGAATGGATAGTAAAAAAACAGCTGAAATCGCAGAAATTGACATTTTGACAAGACCCTTCAGTATTCAGGAAAGACTGGGAACCCTTCAAAAAATTCTTGGAAGAAAAGCAATTCCAACATGTGGATTTCATGTTAATCTATTAGATAATATAGAAACAACAAAATTCTTAAGTATATGGAAAAAGGAATATGCAAAAATTTGACTATACGTATATTTCAATTAAAAATGCTTTAACAGTGGTTGGTATTCAGTATCACAGTTACAGACTGATAATCTAGAGTTTCTAATCTGTAACTGGTTTGTATCCTGTAAGGCTAGATAGAAAGCTCTGTAAATACCAGTACAATTCTCTTCTCTCTTTCTGGCCTCTTTCCTCAATCCTTGCTTTATGTCCCATGTTCGTAGCTTACTCTGTACTGTTCATTTAACTTCCTAGTGTTGTGGAAATGATATACCTGCTTTTCCCCCTTTTTATTTTAAATATTTGTATCCAGACGATGCCAGCATCAAGACCCAACTGGTTGTCATCCTTATGAAGCTGTTTCATAAGATGATCAATGTGAAGGTTCCATTTCACCTCACCCTTCTGAATGTCTGCTTCTCCAACCTCAAGGCTCCTCCTGCTTCCAACAAGAAGTCTATTGGGTTTTATTTAACACATCCATCATCTTCTTCAAGCTGCGAAAAGCTTACTTGTGTAAGTTCAGGGGGGGTTTTGTCTGTAGATCAATGGGTTTGGACAAATGCTTCCTGTTAGTTGTTCCAAGTCAAATAGTTAAAAAGCTATACATTTGAATACACTGTAGTCTCAGTTCCACTCATCCTATGAAAAATATAGTGGACAAAGTTTCCATTGTAAGTTCAGAAATGTACATCCTGTAGATATGACAGTTGTACTCTACTGATACTAGAAGACTCAGTCAAGAGCTTTTGTAAATGAGTACAATATGTATATATAGACAAAGATACTAGATAATGTTTTATGGACCAGCAGCTTCCATGGAAAAGTAAATGTGCATGTAAACTTGTCTGCAAAACAATATAGAGTTCAGTACTGTCCCCCGTGCTGCTTAACATCTACATGAAGCCGTTGTGTCAGATCATCCGGAGTTTTGGAGTTCGGTGTCATCTGTACACAGATGACGTTCAACTATTCCTTTTCATCAGCTACTAAAAGAGGCTGTTCAGGTCCTGAACCAGTGCCTTGCTACTGTGTCGAGCTGGACGAGAGCAAACAAAATGAAGTTGAATCCAGACAAGACAGAGCTACTCCTGGTCAGTCGCAAGGCCGAACAGGGTATAGGGTTACAGCCTGTGCTGGATGAGGTTACATTCCTCCTGAAGGCATAGATTCGCAGTTTGGGAGTCCTGGACTCATCTCTGAGCCTGGAATTCCAGTGTTGGCGGTGACCAGGGGGCTTTCGCACAACTAAGACTTGTGTGCCAGAGATGTCTGACTTGGCCACGGTAGTCCACACTCTTGTTACATCCTGCTTAGACTACTGCAGCACACTCTACATGGGGTTGCTTTCGAAGACTGTTCAGAAGCTGCAAATAGTCCAATGCGCTTCAGCCATGTTGTTAACAGAGGCCTTGCACAGGGAGCATACAACTCCCTGTTGTGGCCACTCCACTGGCTGCCTTTTAGCTACTGAGCACAATTCAAAGTGTTGGCTTTAGCCTATAAAGCCTTAAATGGCTCTAGCCCAACTTAACTGTCAATGGCATTGAATTGTTGCCAACACTGTGGACAGCCCTGAGTCCCCTTTGGGTTTGAGATGGGCGGTATACAAATACCACAAATAAATAAATAAATAAATAATACTATAGTTTTGTTTTATGAAAAAGCAATACATTCAGTGCAGTCCCAACAATTTGCCATGATTATAATACCCAGTTGACCAGTCTTTTCACTGTGAACATTATGTTGTATCATTTGTGTTGCAGAAATTGGAAAACGTGAATGTTGCAGAACATGTAATTCCAGAATATCAGGTGGAACCTGACAATGTTTTGTCAGGTGCAAGAAACACAGGAAATATACCAGCTCACCGAGAGACATGGGGGCTCCCAAAACAACCTGGCATTCCCGAATTACCTCTTCACTTGCTTCCTCCTGATATTGACTATGATGTCTTTAATCAGCTTCCAGAAGAAATAAAGGAGGAAATTGTAAATGGTCAGAAGGGTAAAGGGGATCCTGCTGCAACTCCTTTGTACCAGACATTGCCTTCCACAAAGGAAAAACCAGTGAACAAAACACAAAACAAAATATGTCTTGAATCTTTCCATTCTCCTAACACCCATCAAAATATTAGCACTTGTGACATGGCTCCTGCCAATGAGGAATCTGCTGAAAATACATCAGTCACTAATCATATGGGAACTATGGATGCTAAAAACCCACCCCTAGCTCCATCTCAGGCTTCTCATTCCTGTCAACTTATTCCAGAAGGGCAGAAAGTCCCAAATGGCAAAGATTTTCTTGATGGAGATTGGAAGGAAGCTTCAGAAATGGTCCTTCCTCCAACAATTGATCCCAGAACATTTTCTGAATTACCCGAAGAGGTGCAAAAAGAACTGTTGGAGGAATGGAAGGGTAAGACTCATGTTTCCAAAATGCAATCCAGCAAAATCCACGACAAGCTCAAAACGAAAAAGAAAAGTCTTCCTTCACCACCACAGCAGAACAGTTTATTAAGATACTTTAAACCAAAATGATAACCATGTGCTCTTGGTTCAGAGATTGAGGGCACAGAGGCAGCACCTCTGAGGCTATATACCTTGGAACAAAGAGGAGGGCTATATGTTCAACAGAATCTCATGGCCGAATTCTAGGAAGGCACCATTTCAGATGACAAAATGGAGAGAAGTGTTAGTTTTTTGTGCATCCCAATTTTTAAAAATTACCAAAACACATGTTTTTAGAGGTTCTATATCTACTTGTATGTACTCTTCTGCATGGCAGGGCTTTACTTGTTTAGTGTAAGGATGAAAATTGTGTAGCCTTCCAGATGTTGCTGAATTGCATTTCCCAGCATTCTTCACTATCAGCTGTGTTGACTAAAACTACTAAAAATGCAGTCTAGTAGCATTTGGAGGGCCACACAAACCAACAATGCACCTGTCAAGTCCTGGAACTGACAAAGAATGTGAATTCCTGAAAGCAGAAGATGATTCTTTTACTGTTTAGTGGTGCAAGAAAGGGAAAGGAATGGTGAGATTTCAGAGGAAAGAAAACCTCAGCAAGCATTTCTCCCTCCATTTCCTCAGCCATGGATACTGTGCCACCTAGTTTTCTGACCCATGGAAAATGAAGTAAGAATGTGAGGAGGATGCATGGAAACTGTGTAGACCAGAGTTGGACAGTCTGCTGTGTACTCTAGTTCAGTGTTTTTCCAAATTGTGCTCCTCCAGGTGTTTTGGACTTCAGCTCCCAGAAATCCCAGCCAGGAATTGTGGGAGCCGAAGTCCAAAACATCTGGAGCACAGTTCGAGAGACACTGCTCTAGTTATGCTTTGGCTGTTTTCCAGATCACAAATGCACCAAACTGGCTCCGGATGCACCTCCGGCCTTTCTTTTTGTGACAGTAGTAGTTGGAGAGGATGAAAGGAAATTGCTTTGACCACACTTACCTTTGGCCGTTCCTGCTTCTGGTGTGAGAATGCAAACCCAACTACCCAAAAGCTTGCCTGACCTGGCAAGAAATTGATATATAGGCTGTTAACCTCTTGATCACTCTTATAAGATAGAAAGCTTGAGCAAACTGCACTTCAGCTTCAGTGCTTTAAACTAGAATTATAATTGTACTGCAAAGAAGGCTGTGTTAAAATATAGCAAAATATGTTCTTAGCCATGTCACAAGGTTGTCAATTCTTAATTATAAATATAATTCTTCGCAGTAGAGTGCGAAATATACCTTATAATGTCTTATCTTGTTCCTGGAGGTGTGCTGTTGCTACTTGGGACATTTTTAATCATGGAAAAGGCTGCGGTTACCAGATACGTGTCTGCTGTGTTGCCTGAGATGGTCCATGGTAACATCTAAGTAACCTCTTAGTTCTTTCCTCACATTATAAGCAGAACTTAGCTCTCCAAGAGCAACACGGGAGTTGTATATCGATATGGTCCTGAATGCAGGGCTTTGCATCTGATAAACCACTACACATACTACTTATAATTATTACCATCATTATTCATTGTGGCAGAAAATGAATGTAAGAGGCAGTAAGGCATTGGAAGGTTTTGTGGCTGTTTTGCTAAAACAAATGGGGATATGTTGTTTTTTCTCCAAAAGCAGAGGTGGATGATAACTTAATTCCATTCTGAACATTCTCAATTTACATTTCTTAAATAATTATGAAAAGTGGAATGCAGTTATCCTTTGGTATTCATGCTTCGCAGAACTTTGTTTTGACAAAGTAAGCATTTAACGATGTGTATATTGGGGAAATGCGCATGGAGCACTTGATGAGTATTGCAAGGGGGAATGTACAAAGAAATATTATAATGAGAAATATGCAAAAATGTATGTTTGAAGCAATTTGCATCCAAAGATGTGTTTATTCGTAGTTGTGAGCATGATATGAATTTTCATGTGATTTTATTATTAAGGCTAGAAACTGACATAAAGACGACACAAAGGGTTGTGGGAGTGAGGAATTTGGATTAACTGAAAATTTATTTGTCTGCCCTTACACATAATGGCACCTGATCACTTCCATATCAATGACATGATAAACTGGTTCCTGGTTTTCATCCCAACACAAAAAGAGCATTTCAAGTTGCTGAATGTTATTCCCAAAACTGATTTAGCAACATGGATAGTTCTTTTAAAATTTGGTAGATTCACTATCCCCTGACCTGTCTGCTTCATTGAAACCGATGCAGTGAAAGTGAAAATACAATTTTTATTCCTGTCGGATTATGTACTCACAAGAGAATGCAAAATATTGAAACATTCTCATCTTAGGGTTGTTATGCGTTTCCCAGGCTGTATGGCCATGTCCCAGAAGCTTTCTCTCCTGATGTTTCACCTGCATCTATGCAGACCTCACAACCTCTGAGGATGCCTGCTAATAGATGCAGGTGGAACGTCAGAAGAGAATGCTTCTGGAATGTGATCATACAGCCCGGAAAACTTACAACAACCCAGTGATTTTGACCATGAAAGCCTTCAACAATACATTCTCATCTTAATTACCGCATGAAAAAATAGGAAATATTACTGTTTAGTTTTGGCTATTGCTATTTGCATTCCCATTGGCTCTGACCCTATTTTCTCAACAAGATTTATTCAAAGGTTAGCTATTACCTTCTATGGCTGAGAGTAAGACTTCTGCAAGAACATCCAGTAGGTTTCCATAGATTTAAACCTTTTGGTCTCACAGAATCCTTATCCAAAACTCAAATAACTACACCATATTTGGCTGTCTAGCACAACGTAGAGTCTCCTTCCATTCTTCCTATGGATTAGCCCATTGTTAACAGGAGAGGCCGAGAGGGTTGCAATTCAGTTGCTCACAGATTGGACACATGTATCTGAGCCTCTTATCAGCTTCCATATTACATCAGATGTGTTTACTTTAAAGGGAGGAAACTCTGAGTCATAGAGATGGAGGGAAAAAAAGAGTCAACAAATGGTTTTCGTCCCAAAAGTCATTCTCTTCCTTCTGTGACCCTTTCCTTGTGTCCACCAAGGAGATTTCACAGAGGTTTCTGGCATTATGCTGAATTCCGGGTCCAGTATCTACAGCTAGCTCTCTGTCCACTATCCATGGCTTGAAAATATCTACATCCCCACCCCCCACCCTAAAATCAAGTCTTGATTTTGCCATTTTACATAAGGGGCATCGTGTTACTACACAATTTTGTATAGTAGAACTTGAGCTTCCATAGATTTTGGTATCCACAAAGGATCTGGAACCAAACCCCAATGAAAACCAAGGGCCACCTGTAACTGGGCATGCAGAGTAAGTGCCACATGCTCTCTTTCAGGACTAAAAATAATGCCTTTGAACTAAAATCCTGCACATGTTAAAAGTAGCATGATGTCTCATGCATCCTCTCAAGGGGCACAGTGCAGCTTTAGTGGGGTGATGCTTCATTCTGGAATGATAATGAGACCTCCACAATTGTGGTAGAAGCTGTTTTGATTCCATGTTCTGGTTGGAGCAAAAAATGTTGCTGTGGTGTTTCTTCTGGAGAATTATGATGGACATGCCCAACACATTGGATTTAATTCCTTCAAGGTCCCAACAGTAGAAACTGCTTACTTTTATAGAGTGGGGTGAGCAACTTTTGACATCTTTTTGGACTGCAGCTCCCATAATCCCCCATCACTGACTAAGATGGCTAGGGCTGCTAGACATTGTAAGACAGCTTCCAATTCATTTTACAGTAAAACCAGATTGTACAAGTGCATATTTAGAAATAGGTGTGCGTGCCTGGGATAGCTGAATAGACTGGACATCCTGTTTCCTTTAGTAATCTTTAGAAACTTGGGGTTTGTTTTTTTTTTTCATGGAGATTGCAGAAGCCAACTCAGGTCCATGCTCCTCAGGTTTTCTCAAAAGCTTTTCTCAGAAGTAAGTTAGAGCAATGGGTCTCAACCTGGAGTCCCCAGATGTTTTTGGCCAACAACTCCCAGAAATCCCAGCCAGTTTACCAGCTGTTAAGATTTCTGGGAGTTGAAGGCCAAAAACATCTGGGAACCCCTGGTTGAGAACCACTGTCTTAGAGGAAGGAGGGTGGGGAAAATAGCTCTCTCCAGAGTGCTTTTGTCCACCCGTGACTAGTCCAGACTACCCTGGACCATGCATTTAAAATAGATTGCAAGTTTCTCATCACAATGGCTTGTTCAACATTTTCAGATTGAAAAAACAAACACATTCGATGTGGATTTCTGGTCACCATGAACTCAAATACTGTCTCCTGGGGATTCATCGCACTAGGGAATGACTCCACTTTAAATCCAATTGCTGCCTCCTGCAGAATTCTGGGGTTTGTAGTTTAGGGAGGGGCCTTTAACAGCTTCACTAAACTATAAACCCTAGATTTCTGCAGGAGGCTGAAACCGGATTTAAAGTGGATTCATTCTCTAGTGTGATGAAGTTTTTAGTGTCCTTATCCAACACGTATAACAACTATACCATGCTAACTCTCATTACAGCCTTAATTCAGTTATATACAGTTGGCAAGGGACTAATTTATCCTTTTCGGATAGTGCTCCAGTTGGTTGCACTTCTCTTTTTTATGATCACCTGCCACATCCCTTTTCTTTTTTGGGGGTGGCTGAAGTTTGATTATGTGTGCCATTGTTACTAGACAATAAGAGGAAATCATTTTTGGCCTTAAAGTCCAAATGAATTTCAGGCATCAGGAAATGGGGTCATATCCTATAATCAGAGGAGCCATCTTGCTCCTGGTACCCTCCTCCTCTTTTGATAGATGTCACCTTATTCTCACATACAGATAAACACTCATGTCACATCTGCTCCTAGTAAGAGTCTCCACACAGATGATAATCCAGTTTTCCATATCTTCCTTTGGCAACCATGGAAAATTCTTATTCTCAATAACTGAGATCAGATATGTAGGAGATAAGCCTGTGGAGCTAGGGTCCCCTCTTCCCTGGTGGACTGATGGATTCCTCACATCTGGAATAAAGGATGTGATAAGCTCCTCCAACTCCAACCACTTTGAGTCCCCCTCGGGGTGAGAAAAGCAGTATACAAATACTGTAAATAAATAAAATTTCACATGGCCATCTATCACGCCAGCATACACTCCGTTTTCTGGCTGACTTGCTTTGTCTTGACTACTGAAAAGCTCCAATACCTACAAAAGCCTCCTGTCTTGGTAACCCTTTGATGGTAATACATGGAAGTGGGAAACAGCCATTACACAGAACTGTCTCCATTTTATTCCTGACTGTGGTTGGAATCACAATAGCTGCTTTCTGCCTTGTAGGGTAGCAACTATATAAATGCTGACCTCAGGACATTTCTGTGAGCGAAAAACCTCTGAATCTCCCAATTGTATCAATTATTAATTCCACTCTTGAGAATGTTGTCAACCAAACAGATTAAATATCTATCTTTTACTCTGAAATTCTAAAGAAAATGGTGGATCCATCTTGTGCCATCTCTTTAGCATTTCTTTGGCTGTGTTTAATGACAGAGTGGCAAATGGGATGAAACTCTGGTCAGATGCAATGTGTCAGCTCACGTGTTTTCCACACTGGCTCCACTGGATGTACTTGATTCTTTACATTGGGAAAAAGTGGTAACAACTTTATATTGCAAACAATCCCCTTTCAAGTAGGCTTTGCTGGCACACTTGCCCTCCGTGCTCTAAGTCCAGCTCTGCAGTCTGTGATGAAGTTTATGAGATTTGTAGGCATAACAGTGTTTATCAGGGAAGGCATTAACAGCCCTCCTAAATCCACCTGCAGGATTGCCACAAATTTGGTGTGGTCAGGGTTCCTGAAAGAAAAGAATTGCATTGCGTAAATAGAAGGTCTAAAGCAACACCCACAGTCCCTGGAATCAAATGTGTTACTGTGAAATTGATGTTAACATGGGCATTCTCTTGTTTAATTCCTGAATTTACATTTCTTAAATCATTATGCAAATCTTCCTAAATTTTGTTTCCACCTGTAACAGTGGAGAGTTTTACTGTTTTCCTTGCTGCAAGAAAGACCCCAAAAACTCAATAATTCTGAGAACTATTCAAAATTTGGCACTTTTTTTTGTCGTGTCAGGAGTAACTGCAAGTCGCTCCTGGTGTGAGAGAATTGGCCATCTGCAAGGACGTTGCCCAGGGGACGCCTGGATATTTGATGTTTTTATCATCCTTGTGGGAGGCTTCTCTCATGTCCCCGCACGAGGAGCTGGAGCTGATAAGAGGGAGCTCATCCGCCTCTCCCTGGATTCGAATCTACGACCTGTCAGTCTTCAGTCCTGCCGGCACAGGGGTTTAACCGACTGCACCACCGGGGGCTCTTAAGCCTGGGCACACACACAGGTAGAAAAGTGAATTTTCTGTGCAGGAATGTTTCCTGTCAGGTAGTAATGCTCCTGGGCAAATAATTACATTTTCTTCATCAAACAGAATTATCTTCATTAAATTTTCTTAGCCTTTGGGTACCTTCATTTCCATCACATGGTGTGATATGTTCCAATACTCTTACCTCCCCTAGTTTCAACTACATTAGATCCAGCAGATCCACAGATCCACTGTTTAATAGTGATTTAATGTATCAGTAAAAGCAATGAGTTTGCTCTACTTGGGATATATTTTCATTAATACAATCTTCAGAAATGGGGCTATAAAGTGGAGTCCACAACATGCGAGTGTGGAGATGAGCTAGCCACAGACCACTTACTACAATACAGCCTGAGCCCTGCCACATGCACAATGGAAGACCTGCTTACAGCGACACCAGAGACACTCCAAGTGGTCAACTTCCAATCAAAGGACAATGTATAATGCCACATTTTAAACTTTGTGTTTTCTAAATACATTATAAATGTACCCTCATTTCATTTCTAACACGATAAATAATAAATAAATATTATACCCAGCCAGTAAATTGGTTTTTGCAACTGCACCGAACCAGATTTGGGAAACAATTGTTTGATCCTGGTTTGCGGGGTTCACACAAATTGTGCTTTTGTCTTTTTGGATGTAATGATGTGCTATGATTTCCAAAAAAAAACCCTGAGTAAATTAATTAAAATTGAGCATGGGAAGAAAGAAACATGGGAATATGTGTCAAATGGCTCACTGTGTAATACATTGTAGGAAGCAACTCAGTTATGAAAGAGGGTTTTTTTTGTTTCCATGTTTGTCATTTACTGCAATAAAGGCTCTAAAAATACTTACCCAGGATAGGGAGAACATGCATAACCAGAAGGATAGTTGCTACCACGGGTATATTTTGGACATGCAGGATAGTCTGGATGATTGATGCTAACAGCTTTAATGTGACAAAACAAAAGGAAATTAAATACCATTCAAACAGCAAGTTTGTTTTCTTGGGCAGATGTAAAACACACAGAATTATACGAGGATTCCAAATGCCATTATATTCCATTTGAATCTCTCCTGTGTTTTCCCACTCTGACATCTTCATTCAAACTACCACCACCCTTCTCTGCAAATCCATTGAGGATGCAAAAACCACATAGATACATCATGCATTTTGAGCAAGCATGAAATTCAGTTTTGCCCAGAATCATCCATAATCAAAATCACACATTGATTTTTAAGCCAATATACTCTGAAGTTTATTGTAGCATAATGAAAGTGTGTATGACATTTTTCACAATCAGTTGCTAATGTTTCACACTCTCCAACACACATACTGTTCTGGGTATCACATCTGAGATTTAATATTGATCAAGCATGTGTTCTTACTGCACAAAATAATTACATTGATTTAAGTCTATCAGCCACTTTCCTAAGCATTTAAAAATAAATATATTCATCTAAATCAGTGGTTCTTAACCTGTGGGCCATGAACCACCAGTGGACCACGAGGACGGAAATCTGGTCCATGAGCCTCCTCCCTCTTTATTTTATTTTCGCTCCTTTTTCGTCACTTGCCATTCCGACCCTGTCGCTGACCATGGAATATGTTTTGTATCAGAAACTAGAGCTGATGTGGTCTATCCAATTCAATTTTCTGAATCAGCACGCTAAACTGAATCTAAAGTTGACCAAAAACTGATTCATAACCCTTTTGGTATTAATATTGGAGAGTGGTCCCTGGTCAAGTAGTCCCTGGACAAAAAAAGGTTTGGAACTACTGATCTAAATCTATCAATTATTTAAATCTACCTTGCACTTCTAGAGTACGGCTTAAAAAATCGAATTGTTTGTATCTACCTATTGGACAACACTCTCAGAATAGTTTACAAACAGAAATACAAAACTGGAAAATCACAAATATTACCATAAAAACCAATAGAGCGGCCAAAAAGGAACAAAAATGATCAAATAATATAAGATTTTAGAATTAGAAAATGCTCTTAAGGGTCACCCAGTCCATTGCCATTGTGGGAGTACTCCTGAGAATGAATGGAAATAGTATTAGAAAATATTCATATATTGATGAATATATATCTCACCAAGAAGTGGGTTTTTTTAGGGTTGAGAAAGCATAATAAGAACCCTGAACTAACAATAATCTTTTCAGTTCAGGATTTTTCTGTCCACAATTTGAACCTAGTGGATAGCATTTTCTGCTCAGGAAAAATGAATTCATACATGGTTGATCTGCATCCTGTACAAATTAACTGCATAAAAATCATATTTCTACTCAGAAATAACATTTTTTTTTTCTCCATGGAACGTGCTGTTTACCATACAGAAAACAACCATGTACAAATTTTACACGCAGTAAGTCCCAAAGTGCCTAGGTTTTTAATTGCGTCACGGTGTCATTGTTTTACTGTTCTATAGTTTTGCTTGATGTTTTATTATTTGCTTATGAGTTTTACTGTGTATTGTATGTTGTTGTTGTCGGCGGCCTCGGCCTTTGTAAGCCGCATCGAGTCCTTCGGGAGATTTTGCGGGGTATAAATAAAGTTAATAATAATAGTAATAATAATAAAAAGAAGAATATTGCTAAAAACATTATTGCTTCCTTCAAGAGGAAATTTAGTGAACTCATTCCTGCTCCTGAAAAATGTTAAGACATTAAAATGATGTTAAGGGTCAGCCATAAACACTGAACAGTATCCACAAGAATATTCAATCAAGGACTGAGAACCTCCCAGAAGACTAAAGTTTTACCCTGTGTTCTTCTGCCTCAAAATATGATATGAGTCCTAACTATATGCATATATATTTTCCAATGGAAGGACATAAAGTCTATTTAGTAGTGTATGACCCTGGTATCTGTAGGATACACAAACCAGGATCTTCCCTTGGATCTCTGAAACCATGGATAATAGCGAACCATATGTTTTGACTATATTTGGGCCAGAAAAATATCATAGAATTGGACTGGAGACCCTAAACAGGCCCACAAATACTTCCAGATATAAATATTTTTGAAGTGTGCGTAAGTGAAATCACAGGTATCGAATCTATAGATAAGGGGATTGTAGTGTACAATATGCTGGTTATCTTCACTGTACTCAGGCAAATCTCTACTTAAAATTCCTGACCACAGACCCACAGATGCAATTCATTTATTAACCCCAGCCCAGTGAATAATCATTACTTACAGTTGGTCGTCAGTAAATCTCCATCATACTTTTTAATATGCACCAGGGAGATGAAGTCTCTTGGTGATACCAATCCAAAGCCATAACTGTGTGTAATAACGTGAATAATGAAATTGTCCTATAATTTAACAATAAAAAAGATTAAACTTTAAAAGATTAAATATTAAAAGGTGTCAGCCTTAAAACATTCTTGCTTCCATCAATGGAAGTTTCTTAAGGGGAAAACAGAGTTAAGGTTAAGCAAAATGACTACACGGGATGCTGGATTGCAAAGCAAAGCTGGTGTTTGTGTAGATGCAGGCAATCAGTGACTGAAATTACAATACAGAGAGATCAGAAAACACTGACCTAGGAAGGCAACATGTCCCTTCAGGACGTTCTGGCCTACAACTCCCATCAGACCCAACCAGAATGGCTAATTAAGAGGGGGTTGTAATCCGGTAACATGTTTAGCACCCTATATGTTCTATCTTTGTTGTATTACAAAGACACCTATACAATCCGGCCAGCAGGTCGAGGTCAAATACATTCTATTCTCAATTTTTGGCCTGGGAATCACTTATGGAGTGTAAGATAAAATCAAACTTGGGTAAAATAAAATCCAAAATATCCATCATTGTGATAGTTTTATACAGCCAAAAATACATTATGCTAGCTTTTATGATTATGTAATAAATTCGTTAAGATCGTCTGGGGAGGCCCTGCTCTCGGTCCCACCTGCATCACAAGTACGGTTGGCGGGGACGAGACAGGGCCTTCTCAGTGATGGTCCCTTGGCTGTGGAACGCCCTTCCCACAGAAATTAGATCGGCCCCCTCCCTGTTCACATTTCGGAGGAAAGTGAAGACCTGGTTGTTTGAGCAGGCATTTGAATAGGCAGTGTAACTAATATAGAAATATGGAACATTTGGATGATGAGACTGGATCTTGATTTTAACTATGAGATGAGATGATATGTTATGATGTCTATTGATTGTTATAATGTTATTCTCTTAACTTGTTTTTAACTGTTTTTATCATGTTTAAGTATTGTATTTGCTTTGTTAACCACTCTGAGTCGCCCTGAGGGCTGAGAAGAGCGGTATACAAATATAGTAAATAAATAAATAAATTCAGGTAATTAGATCTATGTTTGTGTGTGTGCATGTGTCAATAAGGACTTAGCTTTACCTTTGGTGACAGTCTGGGAAATATGCTCTGGAATATAAGGAAAAAGGTATGACCAGTACACTAGAGGACACTAGAAGATGAATGATGATGGTAAGCAGCAAAAATTATCAGGGTCCACCATGATTACTAAATAAAGATCCTTTTGATATAGATGATATAAAATTGTAGCCAAGAATCTCCATTTTAATTGGATAAGAAACAGTAAACACCTTAAATGTGATTTATGTAGATTGACCAGCTGACAGGTCTGAAAAGTGATCAAAAGGAGTTCATATAAAGCTCAGGTAAGACTGCCTCTGGATAAGTCCGCACCATATGAAGAGAAGGGAATCCTGTGAACTTCAAGATATGATGTTCCTGATTTCCTGATAACCTTAAAATTTGCCCTGGTGAGGCTATAGGGATGTTTTCACAGGTCATGGGTTCTGGTGATGTCAATAATCATGAGACACTAAACATTAACAATGATTCCAGAGTACACTGTGTTTGTTGTGCGTTCAAATCACTAGTCGACTTTTGGTGATCCCATGAATTTCATAGGCAAGGGATATTTTTTCTCATAATATTTCAATGCACCGAATATTTCAGTATTCCAAAGTTCTCAATTAACTTACTGAATCACCTCATCAATTGTTTCCACACATTTGTATGACTGTACTGCCTTATCCCATTTGGAACGGTGCTCAGGAAGATAAAGGAAGGGAAAGAGTTTAGCAGGTGGTGTTTCCACAAGTGCTTCAGCACGGTACCTAGAACACATATAGTAAAGTTATATGGTAGGAGGTGCTGAGAATTATCTATATATATAACAATGCTCTGTGCATAATGAGTTCTTTAAAAAAAAAACCAATGAACGAAATCACACCAAATTTGGCAACAAAACGTCTCACAACACAAGGAGTGACCATCACTCAAAAAATTATGATTTTGTCACTTGGGAGTTGTAGTTGCTGGGATTTATAGTTCACCTACAATCAAAGAGCATTCTGAACTCCACCAACGATGGGATTGAACCAAACTTGGCACACAGTTCTCCCATAACCAACAGAAAATACTGGAATGGTTTGGTGGGCAGTGTCCTTTGGTTTTGGAGTTGTAGTTCACCAACATCCAGAGATCACTGTGGACTCAAACAGTGATGGATCTGGACCAAACTCTACACGAATACTCAATATGCCCAAATGTGAATACTGGTGGATTTTGGGGGAAAATAGCATTTTGACATTTGGGAGTTGTAGTTGCTGGGATTTATAGTTCATATACAATCAAAGAGCATTCCCAACCCCACCAACAATAGAATTGTACCAAACTTGGCACACAGTTCTCCCATGACCAATAGAAAATACTGGGAGGGTTTGGTGGGCTGTGTCTTTTGGTGTTGGAGTTGTAGTTCACCTACATCCAGAGATCACTGTGGACTCAAACAATGACGGATCTGGACCAAACTCTACACAAATACTCAATATGCTGAAATGTGAACACTGGTGGAGTTTTGGGAAACAGAATCTTGACATTTGGGAGTTGTAGTTGCCGGGATTTATAGTTCACCCACAATCACAGAGCATTCTGAACCCCACCAACGATAGAATTAAGCTACACCTCCCACACAAAACCCCTATGTGCGCCACAGCAATGTGTGGCAGGGGACAGCTAGTCTATTATAAATCTCTTAATCACTCATCCTTCACATAACTGATTTGCAGGAGAGTTGAGCATTTTTGAAGCAAGGAGAAAAGATGTGACCAACAAACCAGTCACACATATCTAATATCTTTGATAAATGATACTTGAAACAACCTGAAAGAAGTTGGCAACCTTCAGCTGCAGCTTTCAAGATATTCATTCTAATATTCAATCACAATCTACCTTCACCTACCTTAAAATAACTGGACTTAGACATATGCTCTAGGACGGTGGTTCTCAACCTGTGGGTCCCCAGATGTTTTGGCCTACAACTCCCAGAAATCTCAGCCAGTTTACCAGCTGTTAGGATTTCTGGGAGTTGAAGGCCAAAACATCTAGAGATCCACAGGTTGAGAACCACTGCTCCAGAACAACACAAAATAAGTTTGTCCCCTTCTCTATATTACAGTCCTTGAGGTATTTCAGGAATGGTATCACCCCCTCAACCTTGTCTTCACTAAGCTGAATATGCTCAGTTCCTACAATCTGTCCTCAGATGTTTTGTTCTCCATACATCTTATCATCCCCATTGTCCTTATCTGAACTTGCTCTAACTTTTCTTACAATGAGATGCCCAGAACAGAATTAAATACTCCAGGTGCGGTCAGACAAGTGCAGAATAAACTTGGAAACAATGGTTCTGTTAACTGTGCTTCTAGATTCAAATCCAGGAGGGCCACAGAATCCTATGTCACCTTAGATTACCTTGCAAGGGCCCATAGGCTTGTTCCTTGTGTTTGCTTTTTACTTCTTTGTATAACTGATAAAAATTGTTTTCCCCCCACAATGCATGAGTCCTTATGATTCCTATCTATGTGAATGATTAACAAAAAAACATTTCTCTTTGTTGATTATCCTAGAACATTAAGTTCAGTTAAAAGGAAATAATGGAAAGAAAAGTGTATGTGTATGTGTATATATATATATGTATATATATGTGTATATATGTATATATGTGTGTGTGTGTATATATGTGTGTGTGTATATGTGTGTGTGTGTGTATGGCTTGGGCTGATACGATCTAAAAGACCATATCGCTCTGTATAAACCTGCTCTAATTTTAAGATCTTTAAAGTGAAGACTTTCTCTTGGTCCCACCACCATCACAGGGACACTTTGTAAGGGCCCAAAACAGAGCCTTCTCTGTAGCAGCTCCTATATTGCTCCTAGATGTGGTTGCCTAAAGAAGTCCTTCAGAAGGGAGGTTTGGTTGGTGCTCTCCCCACTTTCCTTTCCCTGGCATACGAAGAGTTTCTTATTTTGGTCTCCTGCCATTTCACACATCTACAAGCTCTCTCCAGAACTCAATTCAGTTGTTCACCATTTTATATAAGGGGCACCATTTTACTATGCCATTGTATATAATGGAATTTTTGGTATCTACAGAGAATCCTTCAACCAAACCTCAGTGGATGCCAGGGGACCATTGTACCCTTTAAGCCACCCAAGAGGAACAAACTGCATCATGCTAGTTCTCTATGATGCCAGTTCATGCCAACCTTGACTGCCTTTGTCTAATGACACAGCTTGGCATAATTCATTTTACACCTTTCAGTTGGCATAATAAAGTATCATCACATTTACATTGTATTTATTTTGGATAAAATACTATATATACATGTAAGGCAAACCATTATATACTTACAGCATTCCTTCAAAGTCTTCTGAAGGTGTTGACCATACTCTAATATTTTTCTCAAGGTGACAATAAACGAAAGAAAACAATAATTTGCTTTTGAAATCATCATTTTTAAAGGTAAAAGTAGCAATACACTACTAGCACCCCACCCCTTACTTTTAACAGCATATCCTATACAAAGTAAGCTCCAATGAGTATCATGGAACTGATTTCTATGTAACTGAAACCAAACACTGAGGCTGTGTCTGTACCAGGAGAAAAACATGGGAGTAATCTAGGATGGAGCTGTTCTAGATACATCCCAAATGGTTGGTTGGACAGTCAGCGCGTTGGCACCAATGTCCTGTCCTCTTGGAGGGCCACCATTGTTCTTTCACCACCCAAAAGCTCATCAACAGTTTTGCTGGTGATATCATTTCTGGTGAGATCAAAACAGAACACTCTGCTAGGCGATCACTAGAACTGACATTACCAGCAAGGCTCTGTGGGATGCTGCTTGCAACTGACGAAAGTCAGTCTTCTTAACATGTAGATACTGCATTACACCAGATCCATCTTGATCCAGCTGTTCACAAATTGCCAGTATCAGGAGTTAATCCAGATTAATCTGAGGTTCTTCCTGTGCTGTATTAATAGATAGAAACAGCACTTCTGCAATGGATCCAACTATGTGTTGTATAGGCTGTTTGCAATGTGTTGGAAGAGTGTACAATTTGGCTAGAATAAATTTGGGATTAGACAGGCTTTAAATGTTCCCAATCCCCTACTGCTTCCAAGTGAACAGACAAACTGAAGTCCTTCCATTGTGGTCCATGCCTTAGTTACCTCTATATTGGACTACTGCAATGCACTCTATGTGGGGCTACCCTTGAAGATGACCCAGAAATTACCACTTGTCCAACGTTCAGCAGCCAGATTAATAACTGGGGCAACTTACAGGGAGCGGTCAACCCCCCTTTTTAAGGAGCTCCACTGGCTGCCGTTTATTTTCCGGTCCCAATTCAAGATGCAGGTTATCACCCGCCTATCTTCGTGACCGTATCTCCCTCCATGAACCAACTTTCTTCTGGGGAGGCCCTTCTTTCGCCCTTGCCAATTTCACAAGCTTGCCTGGTAAGTGCAAGGGAGAGAGCTTTTTCCTCTGTGGCCCCCTGACTCTGGAACTCACTACCTGGAGAAATTAGGAAAGCTGCTACCCTAGAAACCTTCAAAAAGAACCTTAAAACCTAGCTCTTCCGCTGATGAATAGGTTTACATTCTCACACTATTGCTTAGCCTCAACGTTTTGTCATTGGAGTACATGTCGTCCATCCCGTCCCCCCCCCTTTGTGGGAAAGCTTGATTCCCCAACCTCCACTATAATGAGTCCTCCTCCGCAAATAATCTATCTCTTTCTTATCTCGCCTGAGTTTTAATCAGTTTTAATTAGTCTTTCTTTTAACCATTACATGTAGCCCGCCCATTGTCATTGTGATTGTACCTATTGTAATTTTATATCGCTATATTTTCACAGGTTTTATGTAATTATGTTGTTGTTATTTATTGTTTGCATTTTCGGTTTTATTTTATTGTAATTTGTTGTTTGGGCTTAGCCTCATGTAAGCCTCTCCGAGTCCCCATTGGGGAGATAGTGGCGGGGTATAAAAAAAGATTATTATTATTATTATTATTATTATTATTATTATTATTCTCTTTTTAAATGACAACTAAGAACACATTTTTGAGGACTAATTTAATTTCTTGTGGGCCAGTAGACAGATAGATTTGTCTTATTTTCAAAGCAGAGATAGATCAGAGAAGACAGAAATGCAATGTTCTTACTGTACATTTTTCCGCTTTCCATTCTGATGTATCTGCCTGGAAGTACGATAAGACCTTTTTAGAAACTTCTTCCCCAGTTTTCCTATAGTCCATCTATCTGAGAAGAGAGGAAAGTCACTGGTAAGTGGCGTGATATACCAGACAAGGAGGTCATAGAAAACAATAGGAATTCCATCTTTTCCTTCATTGCATAACGCAAGTATCTTTGCTTTAATTTATCTTCATACTTTATGCAGTTGGTTTACATATTTTCAGTGTATTCACTGTCCTTTTACAGCATAGCCCTATCCACAGTGCCTTGCTGAAGTATTCACACAGACCTTTGGCTCTTCCGAGACACTTCTGGTACCAAGCATTTTAGATAAGGTATATTCAACCTGTGCTGTTTGGTTTTATATTTTATTATATTTGGTAATAGGTGATGCCAAGGTTAGGTAATTTGTAATTCTATTTGTTAGAAAAAGTCATTGTTTGCTTTTGAATTTTATGAATGGTCCCATTAGAAAATGCATAAGGATATGGGTAAACTAAACTACAACTCCCATCATCATGATAATGATAAAGGGTCTGGAGAACAAGCTCTATGAGGAGCGGCTTAAGGTGCTGGGCATATTTAGCCTGAAGAAGAGAAGGCTGAGAGGAGATATGATAGCCATGTATAAATATGTGAGAGGAAGCCACAGGGAGGAGGGAGCAAGCTTGTTTTCTGCTTCCTTGGAGACTAGGACGCGGAACAATGGCTTCAAACTACAAGAGAGGAGATTCCATCTGAACATGAGGAAGAACTTCCTGACTGTGAGAGCCGTTCAGCAGTGGAACTCTCTTCCCTGGAGTGTGGTGGAGGCTCCTTCTTTGGAAGCTTTTAAACAGAGGCTGGATGGCCATCTGTCAGGGGTGATTTGAATGCAATAGTCCTGCTTCTTGGCAGGGGGTTGGACTGGATGGCCCATGAGGTCTCTTCCAACTCTTTGATTCTATGATTCTTCACAGATCCATCCTCTCCAAACACCGCCAACAGTTAAACTTGACCATGAGGGGGTATGCGTGTCAAGTTTGGTCCAGATCAGCCATTGTTCTCTGGAGGTGGGTGAATTGTAATGTTTGTATTTTTGTATATTTGAAATGGATGTATGTTTTTTTGTTCAGTCGCTTTCAACTCTTTCTGATCTCCTGCAGTAGCCCATGCCAGAGCTTCCTGTTGGCCGTGGCACTCCCAGCTCCTTCAAGGTAGAGTCAGTCACTTCAAGGATAACATCCATCCATCTTGCCCCTCTTCCTTTTTCCTTCCATTTCCCCCAGAATTATTATCTTCCCCAAAGTATCCTGTCTTCTCATTATATGACCAAAGTGCTTCATCTTTGTCTCCTTTCCTCCAGTGAGCAGAAGGGCATTATTTCCTGGAGTATGGACTGGTTTGATCTGCTTGCGGTCCAAGGCACTCTCAGAATTTTCCTCCACCACCACAGTTCAAAAGTGCCTATCTTCCTTCGCTCGGCCTTCCTTATGGTCCAGCTCTCACATCCGTAGATGACTACTGGGAATACCATCGCTTTAACTATACCTTTGTTGCCAGTGTGATGTTTCTACTCTTGCCAGTGTGATGTTTCTACTCTTCACTATTTGATCAAGATGCGTCATTGCTCTCCTCCCAAGATGTAATAGTCTTCTGATTTCCTGGTTGCAGTCTGTGTCTGTAGGAATCTTCACAGCTAGAAATGCAACATCTATCACTGCCTCCACATTTTCTCCCTCTATTTGCCAGTTATCAATCAGTCTGGTTGCCATCATCTTGGTTTTTTTTATGTTCAGCTACAACCCAGCTTTTGCCCTTTCTTCTTTCACCTTGGTTATAAGGCTCCTCAGCTCTTCCTTTCTGCCGTCAAAGTGGTATCATCTGCATATCTAAGATTGTTAATGTTTCTTCCAGCAATTTTAACACCAGCCTTGGATTCGTCAAGCCTCGAACGTAGCATGATGTGTTCTGCATACAAGTTGAATAGGTAGTTCACCTACATCCAGAGATCACTGTGGACTGAAACAATGATGGATCTGGACCAAACTACATGAATACTCAGTATGCCCAAATGTGAACACTGGTGGAGTTTGGGGAAAATAGAATCTTGACATTTGGGAGTTGTAGTTGCTGGAATTTATAGTTCACCTACAATCACAGAGCATTCTTAACCCCACCAATGATAGAATTGGGCCAAACCTCCCACACAGAACCCCCATGTGGGCGACAGCAACGCGTGGCAGGGGATGGCTAGTATACAATATTTTTATTTAAACATTATATACAATGGGACCATTCAGAAAATGCATTATATATATCTATATATATAGATATATATAGATATAGACAGACACACACGTGTGTGTGTGTGTGTGACTTTTTCAAATAAATAGTATGACCAAATGACTCGAGTTTGTTACTTTTCCCTATGTAGGGACATTTTTGGGACACCTTGATACTGGTGAGAAAGACTTAATGAGATAAGACTTCCTTTTCTTTCCCCCATCACTCCCTCCTTTAGGGCTGGGTCCATTCAATAGGGGACTCGATGGAGGAGGATACAGTTCTGCCCCCCTCTCCACCTGAGAGCTCCTTCTGGCTGCATCCCTCCTTCTCCTCCTTCTGCCTGCAACTTCTCCTTCTCAACAGTGGGGGCGGTGTGGCGCGGCTTGGAAGCATTGTGATGCCGGACCTCGTCGCGCCCGCAATAGAGAGAGCGCCAGAACGCTCGCTGATGCCTAACGTCAGCTCGCCGCGTCCAACTGCGCACGCGCGTGAGCAGGCGGAAGCCGGAGCGCTACCTGGGAGAGCGGAGGCGCGCATGCTCAGTCGCGTCCTGCCGCTGGGAAAGCGGAGGCGCGCATGCTCAGTCGCGTCCTGCCTCTGGGAGAGCGGAGGTGCGCATGCTCAGTCGCGTCGTGCCTCCACCGCTGCCATTTTGGGAAGAGGTGTAGTGTGTTTACCTTTCAAACGCGGAGGCGGGAGTTGGTTTCTCTGATATCTATCTCTTCTAGTGGAATGTGGAAATATATTTTTGTATATATATTTACTGGTTGTATGCACATTGCCTTTAGGTAAACCATTGAGACATCTACACTGGCGGATTAATGCGGTTTGATACCGCGTTAACCCATGGAATAGTGGGTGATGGCGTTTTGCAACGTCTTCAGGCCTCTCTTCCAAAGAGAACTGTTTATTTTATGCGATTTTTTCATGATTAATTTAGCACAACATCATCCAATATTAGTAAAGTTATTAATATTAGCATTATTATAGTAATACTGATATATATATATATCAGAGGAGATTCCATCTGCACTTGAGGAAGAACTTCCTGACTGTGAGAGCCGTTCAGCAGTGGAACTCTCTGCCCCGGAGTGAGGTGGAGGCTCCTTCTTTGGAAGCTTTTAAACAGAGGCTGGATGGCCATCTGTCAGGGGTGCTTTGAATGCAATATTCCTGCTTCTTGGCAGAATGGGGTTGGACTGGATGGCCCATGAGGTCTCTTCCAACTCTTTGATTCTATGATTCTATATATATCATATTAATAATGTTTTAATGCATTATACTACAACTTATATACTACAATATATTATATAATACTAATAGTATATAGTACAATATAATAATATAATTGTGTATTATATACTACATGTAATGTTATTAATAACATTGCAGTATAATAATACCATATATTATATAATATAATTTATGCAAATTTTTTCATGATTAATTTAACACCAGCTCATCCAATATTAATGAAGTTATTATAATATTAGCATTATTATAGTATATATAGATATAGATAATGTTTTAATATATTATACTACAACTTACATAGAACAATAGATTATATTTATTTATTTACTTTATTTGTATACCGCTCTTCTCAGCCCTTAGGCGACTCAGAGCGGTTTACAACAGTTTAGATATACAGAATACAAAATCATTATGCATTTAAAAAGAATTACTAGTATTATATTGCATTACATTAAAATATTATAAATATTATATGTATATACAATATATTATATTATAACATATTATTAGAATAGCACAGGAGACAAGGTGCGGCAGTTGATGCTGTGGGGAGGGGTCCCCAACGGATGGCAAATGCAGGAGACGAGATGGTGCTGTCCCCTGGCCTCCCCTCTCTTCGCTCTGGCCCAGAATAGTATAATATAATGGTAATGTACTATATATTGTGTAATAATATAGTACAATATAACAATATAATTGTGTATTATATACTACATTTAATGTTACTAATAACATTGCAGTATAGTGGTATAATACAATACAGTAATATATGATACTAATTTGTGCGATGCTAATATAATATATTGTATATACATATAATATTGATAATTTTATAATGTAGCACATTATAATAATACTATATATTATATAATACTGATAGTATAATATACTGGTAGTGTATATTGTGGTGTAATAATATAGTACAATATAACAATATACTATATTGTGTATATACATACAATATTGATAATAATTATATAATAGAGCACAGTATAATAATGCCATATATTATATAATACTACTAGTATAATATACTGGTAGTGTAATATATATATGTTGTGTAATAATATAGTACAATATAATAATTGTGTATTATATACTATATGTAGTGTTACTAATAGCATTGCAGTATAGTGGCATAGTACAATACAATAATAGACTAATATTGTGCTATGCTAATAATATAATATATTGTATACACATATAATATTGATAATAATTATATCTATAGCACAGTATAATAATGCCATATATTATATAACTTGTTGTTCATTCGTTCAGTCGTCTCCGACTCTTCGTGACCTCATGGACCAGTCCACGCCAGAGCTCCCTGTCGGCCGTCACCACCCCCAGCTCCTTCAAGGTCAGTCCAGTCACTTCAAGGATGCCATCCATCCATCTTGCCCTTGGTCGGCCCCTCTTCCTTTTGCCTTCCACTTTCCCCAGCATACTTGTCTTCTCTAGGCTTTGCTGTCTCCTCATGATGTGGCCAAAGTACTTCAACTTTGTCTCTAGTATCCTTCCCTCCAGTGAGCAGTCGGGCTTTATTTCCTGGAGGATGGACTGGTTGGATCTTCTCGCAGTCCAAGGCACTCTCAGAACTTTCCTCCAACACCACAGCTCAAAAGCATCTCTCTTCCTTCACTCAGCCTTCCCTAAGGTCCAGCTCTCACATCCATAGGTTACTACAGGGAATACCATGGCTTTGACTAGGCGGATCTTTGTTGCCAGTCTGATGTCTCTACTCTTTACTATTTTATCGAGATTGGACATTGCTCTCCTCCCAAGAAGTAAGCGTCTTCTGATTTCCTGGCCAGTCTGCATCTGCAGTAATCTTTGCACCTAGAAATACAAAGTCTGTCACGGCCTCCACATTTTCTCCCTCTATTTTCCAGTTGTCAATCATTCTTGTTGCCATAATCTTGGTTTTTTTGATGTTTAGCTGCAACCTGCTTTTGCGCTTTCTTCTTTCACCTTGATTAGAAGGCTCCTCAGCTCCTCCTCGCTTTCGGCCATCAGAGTGGTGTCATCTGCATATCTGAGGTTGTTAATGTTTCTTCCAGCAATTTTCACCCCAGCTTTGCATTCATCAGCCCCGCACATCGCATGATGTGTTCTGCATACAAGTTAAAAAGGTTGGGTGAGAGTATGCAGCCTTGCCGTACGCCTTTCCCAATCTTGAACCAGTCTGTTGTTCCGTGGTCAGTTCTGACTGTTGCTACTTGGTCCTTGTACAGATTCCTCAGGAGAGAGACAAGGTGGCTTGGGATGCCCATCCCACCAAGAACATGCCACAATTTATTATGATCCACACAGTCAAAGGCTTTAGAATAGTCAATGAAGCAAAAATAGATGTTTTTCTGAAACTCTAGAAGTATAATATACTGGTAGTGTTATATATATATATAGATAGATAGATAGATAGATAGATAGATAGATAGAGAGAGAGAGAGTTGTGTAATAATATAGTACAATATAATAATTGTGTATTATATACTATATGTAGTGTTACTAATAGCATTGCAGTATAGTGGCATAGTACAATACAATAATAGACTAATATTGTGCTATGCTAATAATATAATATATTGTATACACATATAATATTGATAATAATTATATCTATAGCACAGTATAATACCATATATTATATAATACTATTGTAATATGGTAATACTGATATATTACATATAATTCCTAGTGATAATATATAATGATAAACAGTTTTATTATTGTATATTTGTACATTTTGAGTTCTAATGTTTTTGATTGTGAGCTGCTTTGAGTCTCCATATGGAAAGATAAAGAGGGATATAAATAATTAAATAAATAAATATTGCATTTTTTCTGAATAATTACCAACGGTAGATTTGTTTAATTTGCAGAAGTTTCTGGGAAGACTACTTCAACTAATGACTTCCTCTTCCAACTCTGGAAATAGATCCAAACATCGCAAAAGTTTTGTTTAATTTACAGAATATTGCAATGTTTGGGTTTGTTTTTCAGAGTTAGAATAGAAAGTCAGTGTATTGAAACCAAATGCTAGAATTTACCTAGCATTAAGTTTTCAGCCTGTAATCTAGCTGCTTTGTTGCCTACTGTCTTTCTAATGTACTTTCTAGGACCAAAAAGGGTGTATTTACACTGTGGATTTAGTGCAGTTCGACACCACTTTAACTGACATGCTTCGATGCTATGGAATCATGGGATCTGCAGTTTTACAAGAACTTTTCCCTTCTTGGGCCCCCTGGTTGCGCAGCAGGTTAAACTGCTGAGCTTGCTGACCGAACGGTAGGCAGTTCAGATCCAGGGAGTGGGATGAGCTCCTGCTGTTAGACCCAGCTTCTGACAACCTAGCAGAAGCTGGGTCTAACACATGTGAGTAGATCAGTAGGTACTGCTTCAGCAGGAAGGTAGTGGTGCTCCATGCAGTCATGCTGTCTACATGACCTAGGAGGTGTCTATGGAAAATGCCAGCTCTTCGTCTTAGAAATGGAGATGAGCACCAACCCCCAGAGTCGGACACGACTAGACTTAATGTCAAGGGGAAACCTATACCTTTTTTTTTGTTTGTTCTTCTCTGACAAAAGAATGATGATGCTTGATCAAACTACTACACTTCTAAAGACCTTGTCAAACTCGTGACTCCCAGGAATCCTTAGAATGGAGTCAAGTGGTGTCAGCCTGCATTCATTCTACAGTATAGATGCACTCATAGAAGGCTAAAACTACAACTCCCAGGACTTTATAGCAGGTCTGGGGCAAACTTTGGCCCTCCAGGTGTTTTGGACTACCAGCTGTTAGGATTTGTGGGGTTGAAGTCCAAAACACCTAGAGGGCTGAAGTTTGCCCATACCTGTGCTATAGCATTGAGCCACATCAGTTAAATTGGTGTCAGACACCATAAATCCTACAGGTGTGCCAAAGAGATGGCAAACTGCATTAATTCTACAATGTAAATTAACCCCATGAAAATTGTGGCACATTAGTTTTCGCTAACATCTGCTTCCAACCAAGTTGGATGTGCAAAAATATATAGTTGCATGATCGTCAACCATGAAAATCATAGTGCACAATAGGAATATGTGGGTCTCTATGAAGAGATGTATGGCAACTTAAAGAAATCAGAATGTTTGTCTCATTCTTGCTTCTATTGATAATTTGTGTTGCAGTTCCCGGAGGGGATGTGGTGAAGGCTCATGGCTTGCTTGATTAAAAAGGGCAATGTTTGCTCTCCCGAAACAACAGTGTCTTCCCTGCTGGCTAATGGTAGCATTCATAGCAGCAACAGCAGCAGCTCCCTCAACGCCCACACCTCCATTCAGTACAAGGACAAGTTGTACAGGTCTGCATCTCAAGCTCTAGAGGCATACATTGAAGATTTTGATCGCAGTCTCATCTCGCCGGATCAAAGGCCTGGGAAAATCTGGATTACTCAGAGTACTCTCAGAGATGCCAGGCCTTTGGACGACATTGTCAAGCACAAATACGGTATGTGTGTATTTGTCTGTCTATGTAATGCATTGCCTGTAATGTTGGTCATTTTGAAAATATCATCAGAGTGCTACTGCTAACATATTTTTTCAGTGTTTGCATATGTTTCTATTTCCATGTGTTTGTAAGTGGTGTATTTAAACAGAAGATGTACGTTAAAGTTACTCTATACATGATAAGTAGTAGCTAAAAATATAGGTCAGCAATTTGTTACAACATCTTTACATATTTAAATGAAATTAGCATTGCTGTGATAACTAGTTACTGGTAACTAAGATTGTATTAATATATTAACTTATGTTGCCCTGGCATTGAAAACCCAATACGTAGTACTATATAAATAAATGACTGAATGAGTGAATAGTAATAATATAAAGATAAAATTATGGTGCTCTGGTATTGAAAGCTGCATGAAAGCTACCCACTGAATACCAAGGTCACTTCAAACCTCATGTATTCCATTTTCCCCAAATCCTCTGTGAGGAAAAGCAAAGTGGAGGGATCCACTTTTTTCAAAATCTGCTTCCTAATTTGTGCCACATAGTGAGGGTCAGTGTATCCCCCGGCTCAGTTGGGGAAAGGTCCAGACATGGGCACCTTTTTTTAAAGCATTCACCCTCGGGCCCTTGGGAAAGACAGGAGGGAGAGGCCACCACCTGCCTTGTGTGCAGCACCACTAGAGTCACATCCAGATATTCGAACCCCAACTGCGAGAGGCTATCAGCATTCAGCATTCTCTCAGCATAGACGAAGCAGCGGCAGCAGCACCACCTGTTCTGTGATCTCCAGGACACCAGACACTGGGAGGTGGGAAATAGTCTCCGGCTGGAAACACGCTCCCTCAAAACTAGGTTCCTGCTGCATTTGAAATGCAGAGGATTCAGCCAGCACAGGGAATATCTGTATCTCACATCTGTGATGCCAACATAGAGAGCATTTGTATCTTGCAGGCCACATGAAATGATGTGATGGATTGGATTTGGCCTATGAACCTTGCGTTCATAAACGGTTCTGGCCCTGCTTACCTCTCCGAACGCATCTCCACCTATGAACCAACCAGAACATTAAGATCGTCTGGGGAGGCCCTGCTCTCGATCCCGCCTGCGTCACAGGCGCGCTTGGCGGGGACGAGAGACAGGGCCTTCTCAGTGGTGGCCCCTCGGCTATGGAATGCCCTACCGGCAGACATCAGACAGGCACCTTCGCTGCTGACGTTTCGGAGAATGGTTAAGACCTGGCTTTATGAACAAGCGTTTGGTTAAGCAGTGCAACCAATCATAGGAAGACGGTAAATGGAACATAGGAATGGCACAAGGATTATGAGAACGGATCTGATTTCAACTGAGGCGTTATGTCTGTTTTGTTGTTCTGTCTTGTTGATTGTTAACTGTTGTGGATTGATGCTGTTGATCCTGTTTGTTGCATTGTTATATTTTAATTGCACTGACACTGTTTGATAATTGTACCATGTAAACCGCATTGAGTCGCCTGTTAAGGGCTGAAAAATGCGGTATAGAAATAAAGCAAATAAATAATAAATAAATAATTTAGCATATGTCGCCAAGAGGTGTATGCATATCAACTTGCCTTACTTCTGATACATATTCATTGTTTAAGAAGTGTTACACATGGCTTACCTGGAAATAAATTTTCTTGGACATACGACATCTCCAAGGTCTACTCAGTTCTACTCAAGTTCTACTCAGAAACAAGTGCCATTCTCTTCAGTGAAAACTCATTCTATTGAACAGTGTTTAGGAATGTAGGTTCAATTCTTTTACAAATATACATGTTAAGCCTTTAAGAACTTTCAAAATATAATTTTGAAAGATGTCAATTCAAAATCACTTTTTGTTTTCCAGCTTTAGAGAACCTAAAGCACCATGCAACATCAGGTTCAGCTGCTCCACATCTGAGAAGAAGAACTGCGTATGAGCTGGATCTGCTCAGTCTCACTACAGATGACCTTCTGACATTCCCTGCCGATGGTTCTGCTTCTTTCACCCAGTCTTCTGCCTTTAGGTCAGGTCTTCTGGGCAGCAACCTGAACAGAAAGTCACTGTCAACTTCAGCTTCCTGTTTTTCTCACCGGACTCCATCCTTTGGCCATAAAGAAGAACTGAATTTTCCAGAAAAACCTGTTTCCTCTTTGCATGCAGACTCTAGTGGAAAACTGTACGCAAAAAATACATTTCACAAATATGATTCTGGGCTTCCTGGGAAGGATCCGCCAATAGAACAAGACACAGAGTTTGTTTCTCATAACAACTATCCACGGTGGCTCACGAGTGACAAATCCGATCTGCATATTTCAGGTCTAAGCAGCATTCCTGATTTTAAGTATCCAACCTGGCTGAAGAGTCATCACCTTTTGTCAGACTCAAGCAATGAAAGTTCTACCCTGCCGCATGCTGAGGAGAATAATCCCACATCTGTGCAAGATAGGAAGAAACAGTTAGGGAATCAAACTCAAAATAGGTCAAATATTTTTGGCAATAATTTATTAGACATGGAATATAAGCAAGATGTTAGAAACACCTGCCAGAGTGTTCGTTTTATACCTCAAGCCTCAAAAAAGCACATACCTCTATTTACAGGTAAGTAATATACATATGAAAAAAGACCTCCTGGTGGCGCAGCAGGTTAAGCCGCTGGCCGCTGAACTTGCTGACCGAGAGGTCAGTGGTTCGAAACTGGGGAGCAGGGTGAGCTCCCGCTGTTAGGCCTAGCCACTGCCAACCTAGCAGTTTGAAAACATGCAAATGTGAGTAAATCAATAGGTACAGCTTCTGCAGGAAGGTAATGGCACTCCATGCAGTCATGCTGGCCACATGACCTAGGAGATGTCTATGGACAGTTCTGGCTCTTCGGCTTAGAAATGGGGATGAGCACAACCGCCAGAGTCAAGGGAAACTTTTACTTTTATCTTTAATATACATATGCTTTAAAGTGGTTTGTCAAGGTGTTTATAATAAGTGGTGGTATTTCACCAAATAGAGGAATGTCGTGGAACCATTATGCTATTGATCTGATGTAATTTGTGGAATCTAAGCAGACTATTTATTTATTTTATATCCCGCTTTATGAGTATTACTATATTACAATATTATATATTATTATATTGCATTATTAGTATTATATTGTATTACATTATAATATCAATATAATAGGTATATATAATATCTTATATTATTAGCATAGCACAATATTAGTATTCTATATTACTATATTGTACTATATCACTATATTGCAAAATTATTTGTAATATTACATGTAATTTATAATACACAATTGTTATATTTTATATTGTACTATATTATTATGCCACAATATTTATAATACGCTACCAGTATATTATATGATTAGTAGTATATAATATACTGTACCATATCATAAGTTGTAGTATATATAATATACAATATATTATAACATCATTAATATTATTTATAATATATTAGTATTATTACATTATAATATTATTATTTCTTTATATTATTAAATTGTAAATATTGAAGGGTTTAGCGAATAACACACCCACGGTAGACATGAATCCACTGCTGTATGTGCAATCAGCCTGTAACTGAATAAAATTGAGTTAGTGGAGCTACTGTAGTCAGGAACTACAGGATTCAGCACAAAATTCAAAGATTTAAACAAAAGCTTTAAAATAAGTAAAACTGGTGTCAAGATGATGAAAAAATGTAGTAATTGAATAATCTAATATTTGCTTAAAAATTGAAGACCAAAGGACAGTTTACATAGAGGACAAGCAGATTATAATTTTAGATACTCATGTTTATTTCAACTAAGGTGTAAGCTATAGTTTGAACTTGATTTACATTTAATTGTGACTTCTACAATTATTCTAGATGATGATGTTGACTTATTACTTCGCAAGGCATGGAGAACTCTAGAATCATCTGCTGAGGAATTAACTAGTGCCCAGAAAAATAATGGCAGCCCTTGTACAGTGGATGTGCTGGAAAGAGAGAGATCATGGGATAATGGCCCAATTGGTTTGTAAGTTAGCAAGCAATGCATATATCTTTATTATAAAACCACAATAAGGATTTCTCATTTTGATATTTTTTACTACCTTGACTTGAACATCTAGTTATTTGCGGATCTCCCACCCATCTAAAGCTAAATATTAAGGTGTGTGTGTTTGTTTTTTTTGGAAGAAAAAAAGGTATCAGAAACTTTGCTGATAAACAGTAAAGGAGGGAAATAACCCTCTCTAATTGTCATTATGGAGCCCCTGGTGCAGCAGGTTAAACCGCTGGGCTGCTGAACTTGCTGACCGAAAGGTCAGTGGTTCGAATCTGGGGAGCAGGGTGAGCTCCTGCTGTTAGGCCTAGCCACTGCCAACCTAGCTGTTCGAATACATGCAAAATATGAGTAAATCAAGGTAACGGCGCTTCATGCTGTCATGCTGCCTACAAGACCTTGGAGGTATCTATGGACAACACCGGCTCTTCAGCTTAGAAATGGAGATGAGCACCAACCCCCAGAGTCAGACACAACTAGACTTAATGTCAGGGGAAAACCTTTATATTTACCTTACCATTGTCATTTACCTCATTGCTACTTTATTCTCCATTATGTATAATTACTTTTAAAAGTCATCTAACCAATAGCCACCACCACATCTTGTACCTTTAAATTCTATAGTTTGCTTATATGTTCTGTGAAAAGTACTTCCTTTTTTCTGTCCTATATTTCTTGCCATTCATTTTCATTAGATGACCCCATGTTCTGATATTGTGAAAGATAAGGGAGAAACATTCTACGTTAGGTTCTTGCTAATGGAAAGAGACCTTGTGTAATTGCAAATGTAGCTGAAGTCATTATGTTTTTCTACATGTTATGATGGATGTAGTCATATATTCCCCTGTCACAATGTGTCAGCATATAATGTTATCACAGCATGATATCAATTGACATGCTAAAATATGGAAGATGCACAAGCCATCAGCAAACATTCGTTTCAAACTGGGGCATTTTGGAAAAATTGTTATATATTGTGCTGTTTTGTTTTTGTAATAAACTAAAGTTAGGCTCATTAAACTGAGGTTCATGTTTTTATGGTTGAAATAATTTTTATATTTTACATAACTTTATTTATTATTTATTTACTTTGCTTATATACCGCTGTATCTCAAGCCCGAAGGCGACTCACAGTGGTTCACAAACAATAAAAACAGTAGAAACAGCAGTGGTTCCATACAACATATAACAATTGACTTAACACATTATCCATAAATTACCAATAAGCAATTACAATGCACAATTATTACAAAAAAACAACCGTACCCAATCTTCTCATCATCCAAGCGTAGTCCAGGTTCGTCGTCCATTGTTCCATTCCTATGTTCCATTACCAGATTGCACTTAATTACTCAAACGCCTGCACAAACATCCAGGTCTTCACCTTTTTGCGGAATACCATTAGAGATGGTGCTAGTCTAATGTCCGTAGGAAGGGCGTTGTTTCTGCGATTTTAGGTTGTATTTATAATGAATTGTTTGATGTCAATTGGTGTTGGGATTGTTAATTGTATCCTTGTCTCCTTTTGTGTTGAGACATTGAATGTTTCTGTCTATGTGTTTTTTAGTTTGTTGTAATCTGCCCTGAGTTCCTGGGAGATAGGGTGGAATATAAATAAAGAAGTTGTTGTTGTTATTATTATTATTATTATAAATGTTGATTTGCTGTTACATGTGAACATTGCCCTGGCCGGGTTTTAAGGTGCAAAGTTTGATGCCAACTTTGTTTATTTTGACATAATTGAGAATGAAAAGGTGTTTAAGACAAGACATTAAGCTCCAGATCTTCTCCATAGGAAATCTCCAGTGCCGGTGTGCTGTGAGGAGGAAAAGTCTCTTCCAAGCCCCAAAGTGGGTATTGTGAAAGGGTTTTTGGAAGATTGTTTAAAGAACAGCAGCCAGGTAAGTTAACATGGAACCTCAGGCAAAAACCCCCCAAAACTGCTTTCTTAGAACAAAAACTGCTGTGTTATTTGCCAGCGATATTATTCATCATCCCAGAATTGCAATGCCAGTCAAGTATGATCTGGGATCCAGCATCCACTCAGTTGGGATGATCCACCATCTCACTCTGCTTACCTTCTCAGAGGGAAAAGGAAATCATCCTGTTATCTCCAACTATTGATCAGAAATAACAGTGAGATTTCATTATCTGTCATATTTTCCTCATTGATAAAATGAGAAGGCAGGAAAGAGGTGTCCTGCTATTATCTCCCAATTGAAAAATATAGTAGTAAAATGCATTTTGATGTCCGTGGAGAAACTGAGAATGGGCCTCAGGGAGGGACTGAGACCAGATCAAATTAAGGGAAGGGGAGTTCTATCCCTAATTTTGCCTTGTTCACTGTATGGCCCTGGAGGTCCAAGCCCCAGCAGTAATACAGTCTGCTTTAGAGAGTACCCTTGGATCACAAACAGCAAATGAAGGCCAACATGATTGATAACACTAGTTGTAAACGGTTTGAGGGCTATTGAATATATGCTGAAATTCTGTGCTATAGGCAGCGAGATTTCCTCTAAACAACACAATGCGTAAAAGAAAATTAAAAATCATATTCTAAAAATAATAGGAAAACAATGTGATTCCATTTTGTATATTCGTATTTCCAAAATGTTTACAGTTGGAAGAGAAGTTTTTAGATTGAATTATTTCTAACTGCTATGACGAGCACAGTTAATTGTTTGTGTGTAGCTGTCTACTGGGTGTCACGTTGGAACACAATACATATTAGTGAAGCTAAAGAAGAAACACCCTAAACAGTTACTTAAAGGAGCTGAATAATGTCCTTTTATATAAAGTGGTACTAATGTGGGAAATGTGCTTTGAAGAACTTTTCAACCGTTATATTAAACTCAGTGTCCTTTGATTATAATGTCTCTTTTTGGTTCAGGAGAGTACATTTTCTGGAGGGAATCATCATGGGCCTGTGGAAGCTTTGAAGCTAATGCTATTTAATCTTCAAGCAGTTCAACACAGCTTTAACCAGAACAAAACTACTGGACAAAATGAGGAATTGAAAAATGTAAGAAGTTTCATTTTAAATTAGATTCCCATTGGGATTTAATTATTTTGTATATTTTTTCTGTTGCTTGAAAAGACTTATTGAAAAAGGTGACCTCAAAACATTTGGACACAGTTGCCTAAATTCAAAGGACTTAGAAACAACAAAGTACTGCCGGCATAAATGTTAAGGGTAGAAGACTCTTTGAACATCAGTGCCTCTGTTTTAATAGAAGTAAGCTACTTTCTGGGAAGGAAACTTTTAGGGGAAAGAACTGATTGCCTTTCAGGCTGACAAGGGTTGTAAAGCACTTGTCATGCTAAAAATGCTAAATAATATGTAGCACTGCTGATAAGTTAAAAAAAACACACAAAATATTACTGTATCAGTAAACATTAGCTCAGATAGTATACACACTGGATCCGAAGGAATTACAGTGGGGCCTTTGTATCCTTGGTTCCAAAATCCCTCATAGATTGACCCAAAGTCCAAAATTTAGTCCCTTAGTATACAGTAGAGTAGTAAAATGGTGTCCCTTGCATAAATGGCATGATGAAGGTTTACTTTTTAATTTATTTATACAAATATTTTCAATCTGTGGATGACGGAATCTGTGATAGCATTTGTAGAAGTTTATATTACCCATCACAGACTTTGTCCTTGCAGCAATATTTCAAATAGTCCATTATTATTGTTACCACTTTTAAACATCATGGTGCAGTGGGTTAAACCCCTGTGCCGGCAGGACTGAAGTCCGACAGGTCACAGGTTCGAATCCGGGGAGAAGCGGATGAGCTCCCTCTATGAGCTCCAGCTCCTCATGCGGGGACATGAGTGAAGCCTCCCACAAGAATGATAAAACATCAAATCATCCGGGCGTTCCCTGGGCAACGTCCTTGCAGACGGTCAATTCTCTCACACCAGAAGCGACTTGCAGTTTCTCAGGTCACTCCTGACATGACCAAAAAACCCAAAACATCATTAGTTATGGTTAAGTATCTGCTTCAGAGAAAGTCTAAAATTTGGTACAGAAAAGAAATCAGGACGACACGGATAAAATAGGGAGAGGACATGGGGCGTCCTAGAGGCACTGCAGAAAAAGTTATTTTTTCAGGACAGATTTAAAGGAAGAAAGTAAAACAACATAGTGTTGTAAAAAACATAAATGGTGATGAGTATGAAGGAAGCAGGAGATCTTCGGGTTATTCTTGTTTTAGGTACGTAGGGCTGAAAGAATTGCTTTCTTAACGGTACAATCTTATGCTTGGTTACTTAGAAGTAACTTTGATGACTGCAGTGCACCAAGGGAATTCTAGTTCAAATCTGCAATATTCTGATATTTCTTATCATAGTTGTTAAAAACAATTTGTTCCTTATTTAAGAACCAGTCCTAAACTTAAAGCCGTAAAGCTTGGAAGTGATATGAATACATGGGAAATTGTATTTTAATAAAACAGAGCTGTGTGTATAGACTAACACATATGAACTTGAATTTTACTAGTAGTTGTGAAGAAAAGAGAAATAATACATGTTTAAGCATAAGTGCTACTGAGTACATTTTTCTTCATTTTCAGACTTTTGATGATGGTGCAGAATTTAATGATGATGATGATACCATGCCTGTAAGACAGTCTCTTCAGAGGTAAGCAACAACCCCAAAACAATTATCTGGAATAGTTAGGTAGGACTGAATTGAGGTTAATATATTTCTCTTCACTGATGTCAGAAACTACAGAAAGTTGAAATTGTGTTTCTAATTGTTTATTTATTTATTTTCCTTCTTTTCCCCCAATACTGCAACTCAAAAATACTGAAATACTGAAACTCAGTATATAGATTAAAGTAGTATAGATTAAAATATGCGTAGAATCAACAATAAAAATAATTTAAAGTTATAGAATCAAAGAGTTGGAAGAGACCTCATGGGCCATCCAGTCCAACCCCCTGCCACGAAGCAGGAATATTGCATTCAAATCACCCCTGACAGATGGCCATCCAGCCTCTGTTATGTTAAAATGCAAGTAACAAGCCTAGAGAAAAAAGTTTAAAATCCATTAAAATTAAAATAAATTCAAATAGTACATAATGTAAAGCACATTGCAATTAATTTGTTGCAGTCTGAAAGAATACAAAGTTTTTACTTACTGATGAAAAGAAAAGTAAGTAAAAGGAAAAAGCTATCCTAGTCTTTCTAGGGAGGAAGAATCAAAGTGGAAGCAGCCACCAAGAAGGCTTTTTCCCCCTTGCTCCCACCAAACATGCCTAGAAGATGGCAGGGCAGGAGAAAGGCCTCCCTTTCAGATCCTATAGCTTGGGCGGGCTTGTATAAGGTGATACTATCTTTCAGTCCAGACCCAAGACTGCAATAGATCATAATAAGCTCCTTGAATTGTGCCCATAAATGGACTGGCAGCCAGTTGGAACAAGGAATCATATGTTTCTTAGAGTAAGCCCCAGTTAGTCTTTGGGCCAACTGACATTTCTGAATCCCTTTCAGAGTAGATCACATTACTGTACTCCAACGAGATATAACTAAGACATGTGTCACCATGGCTGGATTAGACATTTCCAGGAATAGATGCAGGTAGTGCACTAAGAGTAATTGTGGACATGATTCAGCTTGGCTGAATTCAAAATTACACCCAAACTGAGTCAGTGTTTTCAGGGATGCTGCATAGGCTGAAACCCTACTCCCTGATCTGTTTTTCAGGTAACCAGTAGGACCCGTCCCAATTTCAATCCCCTCTGTCACTTCCTGGTAAACAGTGAGGGGTTAGCTGAAAATGGATCCCGAAATGGTATGCCTTTTGGCTGAATTGCACAAGCCTAGTGTAGACCATATATTGTAGGAAGAACTACTAACCTGAAACAGAACTCTCAGAATTCAGTGTGGTATGTCTAGCCTCCTGATCAACATAATAAACTATTTGGTCCCCTTTTTCCTACTTTTTTCATAGGGCTTTGCATCATCTATCTCGGCTCAAAGGCCTGGTTGAAGATACAGATTACAAAGAAGAAGAACTTACCAAAACCTGAAGCATAGATTCTCAGAACTCTGTGTATAAGATAAATGTAGCATCACTAATGCCATTGAGTGCTATGGAAACAAAATCTTAGGGCAGTCTAATTGTCACATTGACACACTTCAGAGACTTTAAAAGAAGCATTTTAATAACTCTTCAATGTTTAAATAAATGCATCTAAAACAGACATGCATAAATAGCACTTGGAGCTGACTGGAGGCTAATGGTATTTTCCACAACAGAAAACATCTGAACTTCAGAAAAAATTAGAAGAACTGTTCTAGCCCTATATAAAGGGTCAGGTGATATTTGTACTTCCTTCTCTTCCTGGTTCTAAATTTATATCCTGCATCACAGTCAATTTTCAATATCTTTTCTACTTTGTGTAGCACACTGGTGGCTGTTGCTCAGGAAGAAAACAAATGTAAAGCCCCCAGTTGAGTTCAAGGAGTTTGTTTCACAGATTGTTTATAATTTGTGGCAACAAGGGCCTACACACTGAGTGGAAAGAGTATCACACCAACAGAAATAGATTGCTTGTTCTCATGCCATGGGAATTGGCTCAGGAAATGAAAGTTTTGTTATAATAGTATTGCAGTACTTGCTTTTATTAATCAATGTTGATTATACAGAGATTAACTGAACTGAGATGCCTTACTGAGTGTCAGTGCTAGAAAGCCTTTTCTTTGAATATAGGTATTTTTCCTGCCCTTCTAATTAAGCTTAGTATCATAAAATTAGATTTCCACATAGAAAAAAAAACATATTCAAGATGTTTAAGATGACACATTTCAGTTCTCTGGGAAACTGCAAGATTCAAACTGTGATGTCTTAACACTTTCTGCTTTCAAGTGCCATGCTATGTATGAACGGTTTTTGTACGGAAGAGAATTCAGATATTTTTCTTAAGAATGAGGATAGCTAAAACAAAGGACAAGTACGTTCAATATTTCTATAAGGATATCATTATGAAATAAATAGGAAGTACTGGAATTTTTTTTGGGGGGGGGGGGGGAAGCAGATTCTGGAAGAGTAAATATATAGAGCCGGGCATCAACCACATAAGTAGGAAATAGCTCAAACTTTCATTACATTACATTCCAAAATCACCCCTAAGGAAAAGTGCTAAGAACTTTATGTTGTGTTCTAGTGATGCATTTGATAATGACAGCTGCCTCAAATGCTGCCACACAGTGTATGAATGAGGGTGCAGATAACTTATTCACTTATGAGGCTGTAATTTGATAGAGAAATTGTCAGGCTGCCTCTAAACTGCATACAGAGTCACATCATTACATCTGCCATCTTTCAGAAAAGGTACAATACAAACAAACTAGGATCACAGGCTGTAAATCTAAGGCTGAAACTTTAGGTGTGTTCATTATGGGAGGAAAAACTCCCTTGTAAGGATACATTGGGTTGCACTAAGTTCCTAACAACTAATGTTTAGGAATGTGCAGAATGTGCATTCCTATTCAGTCAAAAAGAATTCAGGGATCTTAAACTTGTGCACGTTGAAAATATACCCAAACACCAAGCAGTAGCATCAGTTTATTACAAAAAAGAAAAACAATCCCAGTAGAGTTGGAACAACTAATGAAGTGAAAGCACACCATCCTAAACAAAAAATATTTAGCTCCTGAAACTTCTAAAGGCACTTTTATGATTCTAAGATCTTGTAGGATCATTGAAATTCCTGAAGAAAGTTTTTCAAAGCTCTTCCTTCATTTTCCTCAGACCATTACATCTGATGTGAATGTTGAATTCAAACTTAAACCGAGTTAAATGTTTGATTACATTTTCCATGGCATTCCTTAAATGCAATCTGAAAAACAGCCTTTTCCTCAAAGTTATATATGATTCTTTTCTGACATTTTAATTATTTTTTGGGATCCAAGTGGAGTATACTTAAGCACTATTATCTGCTTAAGCACTTTTTCTCTCCCAAAAATGCACTGCAACTATTAAGCTTTACAGTTTCTCATACTTGCAGTTGACAGCATAAATGATATGTTAAATTATAGATTTTGGAAGAGGCCAAAGGATAAGCAGTGAACCAAGAGATAAGTATTTCCAAGAGATAGCAGCCAATCTCTGTGAGGCCTCCTGGGAAGGAACGCCCTTCAAGTTATATGGTACATTTTGAGTTTCCCTTATCTAAATATCTGAAATTTTAAATACTCCAAAAACAGAAAGTTTTGCCACCAGCTGCCCACTTTTGCCTTTGGGGAAAGGGGCTGCGAGATCAGACAGAATTAAAAAGAATCAAGGACAGGGCAAGGAAGTTTCCCTTCCTGGCTACTTTGCTAAAAGGGTGGAAAGTGCTGAGAGCCAAGGAAGTGTCTGGGATATTTGCTTTCTCCAAGGGCCTTGTGTTAGTGAAGTCTTCCCCTTCTCTCTCTGTCTCTCCCCCCCCCCCCCCCCAAAAAAAAAATCAAGATTCCGTGCTGGAAGGGTAACTAGCCTCTAGCCCTCATTCACTAATATATGCAAATAGAGGTAATCTAAAATCTAAATTAATCCAAAATCCTTCAGTTCTCAAGCATTTTAGATGAGGGAGATTAAAAATGTACCACATAACTTGAAGGTCTTGCCTCAAAGTTGCACTGTTTGTCCAAACATTTTATAGGAATCTTATGTCTTGTCATTTGAAAATATTGTTTTGGTTCTTACTCTTTAAAGGCTAAGGGGCATGTGCAATTCAACCTGGAACTATTGTTTTGGGGCTCACCATTTGAAGGCTAAATTCATACACAATGTAATGTGTTGAAATTTTAAACTCAAAATATTTATCTGGAATTTGGTTGAACGAATAAAAGACAACTTGTGTTTCATTCTAACTGTTGAGTGTCTTGGTGAAGGACCTAGAGTTGATAGACTGCATTTGGGGAATATGATTAAGAGATGTTTCCTACACACAAAAACAGTCATCAACATATGTTTAATTTGTTTTGTTGCAGTTAAACAGAAAACAAAGCCTGCTACATGGTGCAATAAATATGTATATTGTCCTTAAATGTCAAGCTGAACAAATACATTGCTGGGGGATTCTGAGAAATACAATCCAGAAAAAGGAACTTCCAAGCTCTGGTGCCTCCAGCAGAGTAACATCTAATTGTGCAGGCAATGTACAGGGTAACATAAATTTGAATATATGCAGAAAGGTCTTTGAGCAGCATTCCTTAAGCATTTAAACTGATTCTTCCCTGTGATAGATATATACAGACTTTTCTCCTTGTTTTTCTGTTTGCTTGTTTTTTAAATTAAGGCTGCCATCCTATTAGACTTTTCGGTTTATTGATTACACGCCACAGTTAATTCATTCAATTTAATCAATCTATTAACTTAATTTTCACTATGATTTAGAAATGGTGTTCCAAGTTTATAAGCTATATTAGCAATTCGAGTAAGAAAATGAATCAATATAATCTCAGAATAAACAAGCATGCCCTTAACTGAGACACTTCTCAATATAAATGCTATTGCCCATTAATCAATTAAATGTTTAGTTGATTAATTTACTAACAAAGTTTTCAGAAGAGTTTGACATGGGGTTAGAACAGGATGTCCCTTGAGTCTCTTCCAATTCTGATATTCAGTGAAGGGGCTGCAGAGGTATGTTGTCTTTCCTAAACTAGAAGTTGACGTTGAAATGGAGAGGCAGTTTGCAAGAAAGTAATACAAACTGTGTCTGCCAACCTGGTGCCTTCTTAAACTCTCAAACGCCAGAGGTTGACTTCTAGTAGAACTAACAATTCCTAGAGATAATGCCTCTCTAAGAATTTGTTGGTCTTCCAGTGCAAGTCTATGGTTCATGTCAACTGAAAGTTGACCATAGAGTTGGGCTAGAGGCCCCTAGACATTCCTGCAAAGGTGTCCTCTTGTTTTAATTTTTTTAATTTGCTGTTTTTTAACTTTTGCAGTAGTATTGTGTCCCTAATCTCAGCTCATATGAAGGCCTGTCTGTAATTCTTAAACGAATAGATGACTTTTGAAACATGTCCTTGAGTTATCTAAAATGTTGATCATGTGGTTCTTTATGCATTTTGCCTTCCTTTCCCCTTTTTTGCCCAAATATAGAATTGTTGTGTAACGATGTAATTAATCTGCAGTTGAGCAGATGATGATGCATTCCTCATCACATTATCCAAAGGTAGACTGAGCAAACTCAAACAATACTTAATGAACAGAGGGATGGCTCATCCTCTATATCAAAAGTTTAAAATCCAGCCCTGAAAATATACAGTGAATTGATTTCACCAAACAAAAATCATTCTCACTTGAAATAACCACAAAAGGTCCTCAGAGAAGAAGCAGATAGTGAACTAAAGTTGTATGCTAAGCAAAGAGGATAAGAGATTTGGTGAATCCTCAAATGACAAATGAATTCACCAGCAATATCATTTTTTCAAATGGGCAAAAAAATAGCTACATGATGTAAATGGCAGTTTTAAAATACACAGATCACCTTCATAAACTTTGTCTGACCAGGAGAGCTCAGGAGATTAAGACTTTATAATTGGGCTTCTGCCACAAAACTGAAGCCCGATTTTTAAAAGTCCTGATCAGCATTATGGTCAAATAATAACAGCTGTCCATTGACACAGAATCAAAGGATCATAGAGTTGGAACCACAAGGACCATCCAGTCCAACCTCATTCTGTCAAGCAGAAATCCACAAAACACTCCTAACAGATAGCCCTCCAAACTGTTTAACAACCTCCAAAGAAGGAGACTACACTGCACTTTGAGGCAATGGAAGCCATTGTCAAACAGCTCTTACATTCCTAATAATTTATCAGAATCTAATGATTCTGTCTGTATCTCTAGTGTTCGTGCTTTTAAATGTTTGAAATTATTTAATACGATTTTAGACCCTGTATTCCCCACTGATATTTTTTAAAAAAACTAATATACATTCCTTAAAATGGTCATCTGTGGCCATACACCCTCTACATTCATCAGATGAAACCAAACTTCTGAAGGATAAAAAAATCCATTGCACTATGTTGGAAAGAGCAGTACCATAACCTCCTTAACCGCAGCTACAACGTGGCCAAAGAGGTTCTCTCACAAATCCTGCACAACAAACTAGAGATGAGCTTGCAGCACTGCCTAGTTTGAAGGAAGTCAGCAAAGCCAACAGTCAACTAAAAAATAACAAAGCCAGTGGACCTGATAGGATCCATAGTCCACTCTCTTTTAAAAGGATGGAGTTGAGCTAACACAACAACTCCATCAGCTCATTGAAAAAAGTGTGGGCGACCAAGAAAATCCCAGCAGACTTCAAAGATGCCAGCACCATGATCCTTTTCAAAAAGGGAGAAAGAACAGACTGTGGAAAGTATCAAGGTATCTCCCTTTTAACCTCTGTTGGGAAAAGGGAGAAATGTGTCAAGAGGAAGGCATGTCAAGCAACCCTTGTCAGGACCGCCTTCCATATTGGAAATTAATGTTCTCACTGCAAAAGAATATGCAAATTAAGAATAGGTCTCTACAGTCACAGACCCACCTCCAAGACCCTACACTTGGAAGGCAATCGTACACAGCCACGAGGGATTCCATGTGATGATATGACATTCCTTACCTTTATTTTGACACCTTAAAATGTCAAAACATAGGGGGGGGGGGGTGTTGTTCCTTCAAATTGTTCCGGACTTTTGGCAGCCCTAAGGCAACCCTATCCCAGGGTTTTCTGGGGCTGAGAGGGTGTGATGCAAGTTGGTTTTTATGGCTGAGAAAGGAATTGAACCTTGGTCTTCAGAGTCATCCTTCAACATTTGAAATACTACAATGTGCTGATTCCTTTAGAACACAGGGGCAAATATAAATGAGACAGATAACTGGGTTTTAAATGGAATTAATATTTTATTCCAAGGTCTCATTAGTAGGCATTTTAGGGCTTTCAGATGTATGGAAGTTAATGTGGTTTTCCTTGTGGTTTAGAAATTGTGGGTCAATCAACTGAGAAAAAACATCAACCTGAATCAAGAAGTAGATAAGTCATCTTGAGATCCTTCCTGATAAAGAAACAGTTTTGATTAAGAAAGGGGATATCCTGGATTGCACCGTGTTCCAACCTACAGTTTAAAGTAGCTGTCTATTGCTGTGCATTTATGTTATTGGGAGCTACCAACATAGTCTTGGATTACACTGTTGGTGCATATGATGGATAACTCCGGATTTGAACTCCAGGAAGAAAGAGTACCAGGTTCCTCGGCCAAAACAGAGAGGGCAAAAGAAGAACACCCTGTAAGTTGTATTTGTGAAATAACTAGAAAGCCATTCTGATGTAGTAAACAGCACGTTGTCTCGAATTTTTTTTATATAGAATATGCAGAGAAGTTAAATTTTGAGAATCTTCAGGATAATCAAAGAATGTAAATACTAACAGAGCAAAACTGTATTTAATTACATCTCCAAAAGAAGTAATATCTGACATTGTTTCTAAACCAAGAAAGAAATATATAAAACTATTGGAAGAATTAAAGAATAAATAGTTGCCCTAATTATCATTTACAGATTGCTTTGATTCTTTTCTCAAATACTTGGGAGAACTTAGTAAGGAGAGAGGTAACTTGCATCCATAACCTGGTGCCCATTCAGATTATACATAGCACAGTGATTCCACTTTAACTGACATGGTCATAGAATCATAGAATCATAGAATCAAAGAGTTGGAAGAGACCTCATGGGTCATCCAGTCCAACCCCCTGTCAAGAAGCAGGAATATTGCATTCAAATCACCCCTGACAAATGGCCATCCAGCCTCTGGTCCCATCATACAGTCTCCTGGGATTTGCAATTTAGGGAAGGCGCTTTGAATTCTCAGCCAGAGAGATCTGATGCCTAACCAAATCCCAGGATTTCACAGGAATAAAGTGGAATTATATATAATTGTGTAGTGTGGAGGGGCCCCTGGAATTCTCGATAAAATCAATTCTTCTTCATGAAATATATCACCCAACAGGATCCCAGTTCTGTTTTTTTCCTGTTCTTTATTATCGTTTATTACATTTATGTTTCATCTTGCTTCTACAAAAATTTAGGGAGTGAAAAGTCTTGAGTCCCCTCGTGAAGATAGGACGGGTTATAAATAAAGTATTATTATTATTATTATTATTATTTAGCTTTATAAGGATAAAATGAGATATTGACCAGACCAAGGTTACCCAATGGGTTTGATGGCTGAATGGGAATTTGAACCCCTACCTTACCGATTTTAGGTCAGCATTCTAACCACTACAATTAAATATAAAACTAAATGCTGAAGCACAAAAGTTTTGTGTTGAAATCTACTTCATACCAGCAGGTGATGTACAGAAGAGTGAAGTAGATACAGTAGAAGAATATGGCAAGTGTTCAACCTGAGAGGAAAAGGAGTATGTAATTTATGTAATGGTATTTCAGTTATTAATGTTCATACAATATTTCTTTTAAGGATACATAGGATACATTATAAATTGCCCAAGACATTTCCAGCATTCCAGGTGGATGCAAAACCTGTCTCAACTAGTTTTAATTCATAAAATACCCAGGTTTATAAGAAGCAAAAAGTGAAAGAATAGGAAAGATAACCAACGGTTTGATTTTTTTTCTCATTAGTGCAGTTTGTTTCATATGAGAGAGAGAGAGGTGATGGAAACTAGATGTTTTTGGAGTGTGAATGGAGCATGTTTCTGGTTATGCCCGTATCCTGAGTGCTTTTGTTTTTCTGATATTGATTCAAGTTAGGTTTAATTTTAATGTTTGGAGGAATCTCAAGACAGCCTCTCCTGTCTCATTCTGTCTTCTCCCTTCCTTCCTACTATTCTCCCTTTCTCTCTGACTGATCTCACAGAATTTTTATAAGGATAAAGTGGGAAGGAAGACAGCTGTGTGTGCTACCTTGAACTAATTCAGGAAAAGTCAACATATAAATATAACTAACAAATAAATGTTCGAGTTATTTCTGACCTATATTGGATTTTTCTTAGCAAGACTGTTCAAAGGAGTTACACCTTTGCCTTCTTCTGAGGCTAAGGAACAGTTACTTGCTCAAATGGGATTCCATGTTCTACCAGGAATTCAAACCATGGTCTCCAGAGTTGTAGTTCAGCACTTCAATCACTGGCTATAAACAATCATTAATCGTTGTTAGATAACATGGTAACAGTCAATGAAAGTGAAACATAAACCTTTGCATCCCATCAAGGCACCAGATGATTTATCCAGAGCCACCTAATGATCTTCATGCCAGCAGATTCTGCAGTTTTGAATTGATCAATATACAATTGTCTACTTGCTCAAACAGTTCCCCACATAGGTTGGGAAATTTGGTTAGGTGAAAATTTAAGCAACTGCTTGATGTCAAAGCCAAGAAGCACAGCACAAAGAGGAACTTTTGCATGGGGAAACAACAAAACCAATGGAGAGAATTTCTCCAAAATTCCCTTTCCCCAAATAGTAGATTCACACTATTTTTAGGATGGAAACACTTTTAATAATTTTAATGTGAACCACTTCTCTGTGTTTTTAAAAAATATTTTTAGATGGAAATGTCTTTTTAAAATATGTCTAGAGTGTAGGAAAGGAGACTTTATCCTTATGTCATGTATCCCTTCTGTCCCCAATTCTAATTTTGTGGCCCTGAGATATGTTCTATAAATGTGTGTGCATTTAAAGACAGCAATTCCCTTGTTTCCTTTATGTTTGTCTCAAACACACACATACACACACACACCTAACACCATCACATTCTTTGGCTCAAGTGCTATCACTCTACCACTAGTTTTGAAGCTGACAGGTTCTTGTCAGATCACAAGGTGAAGGGGTTAACCATTCTATTCCCACCTAATGTGCATATTTGGAGACCCTGCCTGGTGTAGTAGTTTGAGCATTGGACTACAACTCTGAGAAATGGATTTCAAATCCTTTGTTGGGCATGGGAACTAACCCTGGGCAAGTCACAGAGGAAAACAAAGCAAACCTCCTCTGAACAAATCTTGCTAAGAAAACCCTGCAATGGGATCATCATAAGTTGGAAATAACATGAAGGCACACAGGAATAATACTTGAAGACCTCACTTACCATATTTAATAACTGGTGTTGGATTAGGGCTTTGGGAAACCAGAATTCAAATACCTGCACAGTTATGGAAACCACTGAGTGACCTTGGGCAAACCACGATCCTTGCTCCAATGAAAGGCAAGGGCAAACTGAACAAATTCTACAAAGAAAACCCCATGATAGAGTCATCATAGGTCAGAAAGGAAGGTGCACAACAACAACAACATATACTTACTACTGACAATCATGGATTGGACATCTTATACCTATTATCATAGAACTCTATTGGTATTATTCACTTTGCCAGTTCTGTAGATTGAACTACTAATTCTCTCCTTTGTTTGTTTGTTTCTTTATTGGTGGAGAAGAAGAGCCACTGGTCCATGTTCAATATTTTTCTGCTTTGCCTCTTGGCCTGTACTATCACCACTGTGGTGGGAGTGCTGATTGTGTCCCTGGTTTGTGTCAGCAACACGGGCTTTAAAGCAGAACCAAGATCTAAAACAAATGCAGCAAATGGTGGAACTGTTGGCCAGGGAACTCCAAGAACATCTCCATACCAAACTCAGGTGGACCCGAAATTCCAGTTTCTCCACCATCTCACCAAGTCTAAGGTAGAAATGTAACTATTTCCCAATCCTTGATATGCCCAGTGTATAAGGACCTTGACTTTTTATTTTGCATGTATTGTATATAAAATAAAGGATCACTTTATAAACTTGGACCAGTTGAGGCCCTTCCATATGTGCTATTTGCAATAGTTACTTACTTAGTATGTGGATATTCCCAGTTTTGTTACAATGTCAGTGTGAAATTTAGCAGCATTTATGTTGAAGCCATTGTGGTATCACCTCCATAAGCCATTCCACAGTTGTAAGACATTGGTAGTTTTTCTGCTAGTAATCTCATGACAAACCTTTCTGTACTTTACCCTGATCTTGACGTCTTCTTACCATGCTTGATAGGCCATAACTTGTTCTAGGATTTCAGCTTGTCAAGACCCATGAGATGTTCTTTTGGTAATTCTACATTTGGTAATTCTACATATGTCATAAGAGAAAACAGTAATTAAAGAAACTAACTATAACAGTTTAAAAACCAAATGAATAGCTGCTGCCTTTTTAATTAATCTCCTTATGACAAGAGGTTGCAAGCCAGGGACAGTGTGTGCATATTTGTGAGCAAACCTATTCTTTGGTCAAATTTCAACTCCTGGCTCATAAATAATAACTTCAGGCTTCTTCTGGAGCAACCTGTCCTTTCTCCAGATAGGTTGCCAGGTGGCAAATATGATGGAGATAAAGGGTTCACCCTGTTGTCTGTCTTGTGACCATAGACAACTCCAAGATTTCTAGTTCCATTTCTTCCCTCTTGTTCTAGGAATCACATTAAAATAATAATAATAATAATAATAATAATAATAATTAGAATTATAGGTTGTGGGTTTATTCGGGCTATATAGCTATGTTCTTGTGGCATTCTCTCCTGACGTTTCGCCTGTATCTATGGCAAGCATCCTCAGTGATTCCAGCCATAAAAGCCTTTGACAATACATTGTATAATTATAATTTATAATATTATAATGTAATACAATATAATAATTATATATTTTATATTATATGTAATATTACTAATAATATTACAATATAATGGTATAGTATAGTCATATATAACACTGATATTGTACTATGCTAATAATATAATATAATATATATTGTGTGTGTGTGTGTGTATATATATATATATATATATATATATACCTTGTAAGCCTCTCTGAGTCCCCTTTGGGGTGAGAAGGGTGGTATATAAATGTCGTTAATTAATTAATTAATTAACACAGAAACATTTAGCACACCTTTAAAACAATTCCTTGCCTATCAGCTGACTGAGGGTTGGGACCATGGTGTTTTGGAAGAGTGATTAATCCTTTCCCTCTGCACTACAGTCCGACAAAAACCCAGCACCATTGATGTTGACCTTGGAAAATATAGTCTATGTCTTAATTGCATAATCTCCAATTATATCCCCTATTTTTTTAATAAAAATAATTAAAATAGGCATATTGAATACTTATATAATAATATGATTCACCCCTGCCTTCAGACCATCAATGACTCCAAACTATCTGGTTACATTTCTCCCATCTTCCATTTCTTCTAACATATAAACTTTTGACATATTTTAAACTTTTGTCAATCAGCTGAAAGAGACCTGATTGATGATTGGAACCATGGTCCTTTGTGAAAGTGATTAACCCACATGTGTCAAAAAACAAAGCCTATGGGCCAAATCTGTCCTGCCACATCATTTTACATGGCCCGTGTGGCTTTCAATTTCAAGGCAACATAGTTACATTTATACAGTCTTACAATTACAAATGGCCCTTTGAAGTCAGCCATAAGACTGATGTGACCCTCAGTGAAAATGAATTTGACACCCTTGGATTAACTCTTTCTGTCTGCACTACGGTCCTACAAAAACCCAGCATCACATAGCTCCATTGAGAATTTCCCCAAGATCAGTTTTGTTTGATGAGGAGGTCTATGTTTTAATTGCATGGTATCTGATCATGTGCACCATCTCCCCTGGCATTTTCAAATAATTAAAACTAGGTATATTAAATGCTTATATAATAGCATGCTTCAGTTGAGCTGTAATTTATTCTTTCATTTTACTTTCCCATTTATCCTGGTAGGTTCTTCCCTATTGCATAACTCATGTTCAGTATCCTGAAAGGGCTGGAAAGCATTGACAGAAAGTTTTGATCAGCAGCTAATAAAGATGGCAAAAAACTGGGTTTGTTTGTTTATTCTTAAAATCAAAAGTTCCAGATGGAGATCTGTGGGCCACAAAATACCATTTCACATTTAAAAACTTCTCTGTAAGTAAAAGTAATTTATGGCAAATATGTTTGTGCCTCGATGGTTTTTCCAGAAACATGAATTCCCAGGTGGTACTATTCAGTGGTCTAGATTTCGGAAAAATGCCAAAGAATACCTGAATCAGGAAGAGATGGCATTTGGAAGAAGCATCAATGCTCAGCGCTCCCAGATGACCTTTGGAACATTACGGATCAAGAGCCAAGGCCTGCGGGCTCCACACTGGCATTTCAATGCCAACGAGCAGGGCTATCTCTTAAAGGTACAATTTTGGTTAGTTATATTTCTTATTTGTTAAAAAATACTTATATATAGCAGATAGTAATGATTAACATGTTTAAAAGGGAACACACCTACCTCTTTTCTCTCACACACTTGTGCAAAAATAATTATTAAACAGCTGAAGATGGGGAAACACATTTTGAAAATGCCATCTGGGTTCCAACATTCCTTCTCACTCTGGGGAGATTCTCCCAATTTCATGGATACCATTTGGCTTGACAAGAAGTGCCAAATGAAGAAAAAAGCCCGAAGAACTACTTCTATTTTACAGTATATAGAATGTGGAGGTCATACTATCTTCCTTCTACTTTTTTCAGTTGAAAATGAAATATAAAACCCCACTGGCCCGTAAAAAGCATCAGCATGAACTTAATTCATGGTCGCTGTTGCTGAACGCCTCACTTAATAACAATGCAAAAATGTTTTGGCAGCTTCTCTCAGGAGCTTTATGCTCTTGATCTCAAACCCTACATTGTATTATTCAAGATCAGGTTTGGAAGGATTCTTTTAAATCCATTTTTACAGAAATCAATAGTCCTGATCCGGACCTGTATAGAATCCAGTATCTGTAGAAAAAGTTTCTGATTTTGCAGCTTAAAGTAGAAAGGCTCCAAGTATCAATTATATCCCTACTGAACTTATTAAAAGTAATAAACATTGGTGGGTGCCATTGCTGACTGCTCTTTTTAATCAAGGTTAATAATTCTGTCAAAACTCCAGCTAGTTGTAAGTAAGCAGTTGTGTTGCCAATCTGCAAGAAAGATCAAGCCACTGATCCAGGGAATTACAGACCTATGTATCTGTTATCAATAATGGGAATGTTATATGCTCTTTCTGTATTCAACAGAATAGTTTCCTTTTTAAATTCTAATAACATTCTTACTGGGGATTTAGAGATAATTATTCAACTTTTGATCACTGTTTAGTCATCTCTCACCTTGCTGGAAGACATTCTAGACATCTACAAGATAAGTTGTTGTTGTTGTTGGGTTTTGGTTTTTTTTGTTTTTTGTTTTGCTTTTATGAAACTAAAGCATTTAAGTTATGGCAGAATTTAGACAATGTTTTGACTTATAAAAGCCTTTTCTGTCTTATTAAGCCTTTATTTAGTAAGATTCAGCTACAAATTAGATGTGACATTAAGAAGCAGCTTTTTAGGGAAACGCACAAGGATTAAACAAAGCTACAAACTGTATTTAATTGATTTGTAAATGATTTTGAAGATGCTTTAATTGAGCTCAATTGTCATTTGCCCGAACATAAAGACAGGGAAAATTATACTCCACTCTCTGCCAATCATGTAGTCATTCTTTTAAATTCTATACCTGGGCTAACCTATGTCTACTAAGGAAATTCTTGACCTATCATTTACAAAATGAACTAAAACAAATTTGGGGAAATCTAAAGTTATGGTTTTTGAAAAGAAATATTTTCAGTGCAGATGGACATTAAATGGCCATACTCTGGAACAAGTTAGACATTTTCAATACCTAGGGCTGATATTCCATTGCCATGAACTAGTCACAAACTGACTGCATATCAGAAAGCAAAATGTGTCAGTCTGCCAATGTGCATTATTTTTATAACAAAGGGGGCCAATATATACCACCTGCTGTTAAAGTCTTTCCTGCTAAGACAATTTCACAACTGCTGTATGCTTCAATATTTTGAATCTGGAGAAGGAACAACAGAGTTAGATATGCAATCTTCAATCTAAATGTTTTCAGATTCTTCTACAAATTCTCAGATGTTTTCCTAATACAGTTCTATTGTTTAGAAACAGGGGATGCCTCCAATTGACACGGGTTTGGTTGACCACTATACAATTTTGGTCAAATAGAAGAGGTCCTATGTTTACCTCTATATCACTCTCAGGATGGTTATATAAGCCATTGATTAAAGTTTGTCCCTCAAAAGGCTACTTCACTTTAACTGCCATCAGGGCTATGACATTGTTCTCAAATCAATAAAACAAAGACAGTGGGATATTGCTTTCTATGATATTCCAGATCATTCATATTCATTTGTTCACTGAGCTCATTGAGCACAAAATATACTAGGCTTTTGACCTAAACTGAGTATTTAAATAATTCAACTTCTGTTAATTATCATAGACTTTTACAAAGGCCAGATTTAATGTTTTCCCCTCTGAAATGCCCCAAGATAGATTTGCTAGTGTATCTTACACAGCAAGGTTATGCGTCTGAAATAACATAGAAACAGAATCCATGAAGTACATTATTTTCTCTTGTAGATTCTACAAGTAGATTCAGCAACATATAATTAACCCATTAATAAAGAACTGTTATTAATGAATAGTGAAGAGTAGAGACATCACACTGGCAACAAAGATCCGCATAGTCAAAGCAATGGTATTCCCCATAGTCACCTACAGATGTGAGAGCTGGACCATAGGGAAGGCTGGAAGAAACATTAACAACCTCAGATATGCAGATGACACCACTCTGATGGCTGAAAGCGAGGAGGAGCTGAGGAGCCTTCTAATCAAGGTGAAAGAAGAAAGCGCAAAAGCTGGGTTGCAGCTAAACATAAAAAAAAACAAGATTATGGCAACAAGAATGATTGACAACTGGAAAATAGAGGGAGGAAATGTGGAGGCCGTGACAGACTTTGTATTTCTAGGCGCAAAGATTACTGCAGATGCAGACTGTGGCCAGGAAATCAGAAGACGCTTCCTTCTTGGGAGGAGAGCAATGTCCAATCTCGATAAAATAGTAAAGAGTAGAGACATCAGACTGGCAACAAAGATCCGCCTAGTCAAAGCCATGGTATTTCCTGTAGTCACCTACGGATGTGAGAGCTGGACCTTAGGGAAGGCTGAGCGAAGGAAGATCGATGCTTTTGAGCTGTGGTGTTGGAGGAAAGTGCTGAGAGTGCCTTGGACTGCGAGAAGATCCAACCAGTCCATCCTCCAGGAAATAAAGCCCGACTGCTCACTGGAGGGAAAGATACTAGAGACAAAGATGAAGTACTTTGGCCACATCATGAGGAGACAGGAAAGCTTAGAGAAGAAATTATGCTGGGGAAAATGGAAGGCAAAAGGAAGAGGGGCCGACCAAGGGCAAGATGGATGGATGGCATCCTTGAAGTGACTGGACTGACCTTGAAGGAGCTGGGGGTGGTGACGGCCGACAGGGAGCTCTGGCGTGGGCTGGTCCATGAGGTCACGAAGAGTTGGAGACGACTGAACGAATGAACAACACATGTTGTAAGAATGACATTAAATATATTTAGCTTTGACATGAGTATAATACTTCTTTCTCTACCTGTGTCTCTCAGGGCACTGCTTGGATAGGTGTGGTTGATGCTGGTGGAAGTATCGTTACCACATACAATGTCACTGCCGGACAGATAATCTTTTTTCCCCGCAACACACTGCACTGGCTTAAGAATGTTGGAACAGAAGAGTGTTTGTTCTTACTGTTTTTTACAACACATGATGAGCTACAAACTCTGGATATGGATGATACATTTTTCTTAACGCCGGAAGACATAGCAGCAAGGTCATTAAAGGTCTGTAAAAATGGTTTACTACATTACAAAAATCTCCCTGTTGACAGAAAAGTTCCTGTTTGTAAAGTCTTTTTAGGCCAGTCGAGTCCAGTCTTTTTCTCCTTGTCCTCTGCCTAGTAGAAGGTTTTTGGGGTTTTTAAAAACAGCATTACTATTTGGCAAATGGAGAACAAGAGTGGGAGAAAAACAAACTTTTGGCACCAGGTTTCAACAGCATTTCTGCAGTAAACATACAATGCAGGGAAGCTAGAGCTGGGAAAGAATGGGGTTGTATTCTAGCCGATCTTCTTGTAGCTATGTCTATCTGCCTACAATAGGAAAGGTAAAAAGCCTTGAGATTTTCTTACTAGGCATTGAATGTTTGCCTTCTGTTGCTGGAATTCGCCCTGAGTCTCCTCAGGGAGATAGGACATAATATAAATAAAGTTATTTATTTATTTATTACTGAGCATGTACAAAGAGCAGAACAGAGAGAAAGGGGGAGAGCAGATAAGCCTCCCTTCCCAGTACTCCCAGCATGAAAAAAAAACACCAATCTGGCCACTAAAATGGAAATCATAAGAGAGGTGGAGGCTAAAGAAAGAAAGAAAATAATCCCTGGATGTATTTTTGATGAAAATTTTATGTGGCCTGTCAGAGGTCCAAAAAGTTTTTGTTTCCTTATGTGAGGCTTACCTGAGCTGGCTATTTTATTTTGTTTATAATTAGAATTTGCTGTTTACTGAAACATTTTGAATTGCTTTCATTTTTTGTGATGTAGGAACCTATCCCAATACTTCCCATGTTATTCTCACTTTTACTACCAAACATATATTTTGTTCATTGAAATATAGCTGCATTATCATTATCATTTACATTTACAAATGCTGAAATTTTTATAATGGACATGTGCTCATCAGGCAGCTCCTTATTAGGTGCACATCTATTCTAAAACCTGTATTTCCTTCTGTCTAGAATAGGAAATGATTCCTAAAAGCCTTTAAGAAAAACTGACAATAGGTTTTTTCATATTGGGTCACATGAGAACCTTTAAAAAGTAACTTCTACATTTTTTTTTGGCCTTGGCATCTGGTTCTTCCTATTCCACTCTCTTATAAGTCTAATTTGTATTTGGAAAGCTGAAGCCATTTTTCATTCACAGTTTTAATTCATTAAATGCAAAAATTATTGTGCTCTTTCAAGCCTCAAGGTGGAGTGGATTTCATCAGGACGTTCCAGAAACAAGCAGAAGACCAGGCTATCAACCTTCCACCCAACTTAGCAGAGCTTGTACAGAGCCCTCACTATAACCAGTCCACAGACAATCTGGTGTGGAGGTACTTTTTTGACCTCAAAGGTACAGCAGACCAAACTGGGGTGTCATTCTCATTGACTTTTGCGCCTGAAGTTCATTTCAGCTCAGGGGCCAAATAAGGTCATACAATAATTGGACTCACCAAAATTCTGAAATAGTAAGGAGATGGTGATATTACCACTGCTTCGCAGGAAACCTATAAAGCTAAGGAATGCCCAAAATGATAATGGAATCTATTACATCTTGCTTGTTTCTAACATTTAATAATGGAAATGAAAAAAGAACCATACAACCTAAAGAGATCCCAGGGGGCATCCAGTCCAAACCCATTCTGCCATGTGGGAATACACAATTAAAATACTCCCAACAGGTGGTCATTCAGCCTCTGTTTTAAAACTTCCAGAGAAGATGATTCCACCATACACCATATTCATAATTATGTTTTTCAGCATTGCCTAATAAGTTCTTGCTGTTAACACTTGATGTGTGACTTCAAGTTATTCCTACCTTATAGTGACCCTATCATGGGGTTATCTGGGGCTGAGAGTATGTGACTTGCCCAAGGCCATCCATGACCATGTGGAGAATTAAACCCTAGTCTTCAGAATCATACTCCAATGCTTAAACCACTACACCATGCTGGCTAGTAACAGACAAAGGCTTACTATGTTCAGACCACTGGTCCATCTAGTTCAGTACTCATCAGCCGAGGGTCTTCCCTTACACTCCCTACATCTGGAGTGTAACAAGTTGAAGTTGGATCTTAGCCATTCAGAGTGCTCTGTACTCATTTATGATCTCTGCTCATTCTGCAGGGGTCAACTAGTAAACAACTTGAGCTAATAAATATTGTATTGCTAATTTTCCTGCTTTCTGAGGCTGCTGTTTGGTCCTCAATTTAGGGTCAACCGAGTTTCGTTTTCCTGGGGGAATTATTCAGTGGGCTCGATATGTGAAAGATGGAAAAGGCTTGAAACCCAATGAAAAAATTTACAGCGAGTTTCTCCATTCAGTAAGTGTACAGGTGTAATGTATAGTTTTTCTATGGTTGACCAGACTAGATCAAGCCACAGAATCTCTTATCAAATATTGTGGAGAGGTGTGTTGGATATTAAGAATTGATGCAAAATGTGAAGTTCATATTTTTGAATACACCAAAAAACCAACAGGTAGGAATCTTCTAGATAATATGTGGTCTCTCCCATGGCTTTTTGGGGGTACTCTTTGGGCAGGAATAAAATATTGCTTCTTTTGATGGAAATTGCCACAGAGTGTTCCATAATTTGAAAAATATTGCATTGTTATTTTAAAACAAACAAGAACAAAAACTATAGCAGCAAATACAGCTGCTAATTACAATATATGTTCATAGATCACCGCCACACTCAACTGTCGCTTTCACATAAATCCAATTGTTCATATCTTGTCGTTATGCTTGCTCTTAGAAGGAAGATACGCTTACGTTGGGAACGCTCCGGATCTATAGCACTGGTCTTCGCCAGCCTCATTTTCATTTCAATGCCAATGAGATGGGATATGTCATCAGTGGATGCGGAAAGGTAGCTGTTCATTTAAATAACTTTGATGGGAGTGAGCCTTTACAAAATCTGTCTGGTGGAAACACTTTGAAAGAAATCAGATGGGAAACCCTCACATTTGGGGCTGTTTGCTGTAAATCAGGAGAACCAAAGTGGTCCCATTTTCAGCAAGAATCAAAGAATGAATAAATGAATGAATAAAAAGCACTCACTGCTGGGAAATCCTTAAATACCAAATGCCCTGGGTATTGAAGCTTCTGATTTTGTCTTGCTGATATGACAGAGAGCTGAAATTGTAAGGGATCATCACAAAATCAGTTTTCTAGACATGCATATGTTTTCTTTCAATGCCTCTTTTCTCCAGGTAGGTGTTATTGTTTCACCTTCGCTCAGTACTGACTTCACCATTGGTGTTGGAGATGTTGTATTTTTCCCTGTTGGCATGCAACACTACATCAAGAGCACGTGTGATGAGGACTTGCTCTTCATTTTGGCATTCAGCACAGGAAATCAGGTGAGGAATCTGAACCAAGAGCGAGTGTGGTGTAGTGATTTGAGCACTGGACTGGGATACTTGGGAGACCAGGATTTGAATACATGCTTAATCATGAAACCCAGCGATTGATGCTGGGCAAGTCACATTTGCTCAGGTTTAGAGGAAGGTGGTTGGGGGGCATCACATCCTCCAAGTGGCATTTGGAGGGATGAATGGAACATGTTGAGTATCTCCTAAACAAAATACTTGTGGCCAGACTTGGTTTTAATTTGAGGTTTCTCCTCTGAATTTTGCAGCATCTGTATTTGCACATACATTCATAAAGAGATATTTTGGAGATGGCAGTCAAATCTAAATATCATTTATGTTTCATATAAATATTTCTTAATTTTGTACACAATACTTTGAGTAATTTTGTGAATAAAACAAACTGTGTGCACTATTTCAGCTATCCACATGGAAAATTGTGGATTTCAGTGTATTTTGGATTTTGAAAGTTCACATAAGAGATGCTCAACCTGTACATATTGCATAGATAACTACTCCTTAAATCTGTGGTACTTAACCTGTGGGCTGTAGACCACCAGTGGGCCATGAGGATGAAAATCTGGTCTACGAGCCTCTTTCCTCTCTATTTATTTATTTTATTTCTGCTCCTTTCACGCCACCTGCCACTCCTTCCCTGTCACTGACCATGGCATATGTTCTATATCAGAAACTAGAGCTGATGTGGTCTATCCAATGCAATTTTCTGAATCAGCATGCCAAATAACCAAACCAAATCTAAAATTGATCAAAAACTGATTTGTAACCCTTTTGGTACTAATGCTGGAGAGTGGTCTCTGGTCAAAAAAAGGTTGAGAACTACAGCCTTAAACAGTGGGTCCCAATCACAAATGGGGTCCTCTCAATTTGTGCAAAAAATGGCAGCAGTAAAATGTTTCTGAACATCATCTAGACATTTACATGAATCAGTTAGCAACTACTTGCAGTGTTCACAGTGGACTGTGCAGAAAATGCTTCTGGTGTACTTCATAAAAAGGAAAATCAACTTGTTTAGCAAGTCTTGTAAATGCTTATTTTATTATAAATACATTCTTGATTTTACGCCTGTTATATCTACCTATATACCCAGGGCCATGTAAAAATTTCTTAGGAGGAAAGGAGCTGTGAAAAGAAATTGTCGGACAGAAAGGGGTCACGAGTGGAAAAAGTTTCAAAATACATGGCATAGATGTATGGCATAGATGTATTTTCTGAACTTGTCTGTGTAGCATCACCAAGTATGTGTATTTTAACCGAACACTGTTAGGTCATCTAATTCAAAGCTTTTTTTCCTTCCCAGCTACAAACTCTTGATATGGATGACTATTTTCATGCCACAGCAGACCATATACTGGCTCAACTTTTCTTCAAAAAACAAGATGAGTTTAAGAAAATCCCAAGGTTTAATGAGGATCAGGCAATTAATCTACCATAGCAACTTGTAATAACAACAACTACAAAGACATCTCCATGAATTTCCCGATTATTAATAAACATAATAATTTGCGCTAGAGCAGAGTAAAAATGCAGTAAATAAATAAATTAATTAATAAATAATATGCTGCCTCTAATTCTGTGTTCCTTTTGGAGGTTTTTTTAAATAAAGGAATTAAAATTATTAAAGGAATCTATATTCCAATCTTTGTTGTAATAAAAAAAAACGTTAGTTGTGCAAATGTAATGTCTCCATAACAGGTTACAATTAAAGACCACGAGCTGAAAAAATTGACCGCCTCTACACATACATTACAGATAAGGATTTTCTCGTAGCTTTTGATGCTCCCTTTCTAAATAACATATATAATGAAACCAGATATCTGGAACTTAAAAACAAAATCCTCTGGAGAATTTGGAGGAAATGGCGATTATTGTATGAGGGTTATTTTCTTGACTACCAGTTTGAAGCCTGGCTATAGCCTTTGTGCTTCAAATTATATATAACAAGCGTAGAAATAAAATGAAAGGATGTATATTTGTTTATATAAAGTTAGTCCATGTGATGACATAACAAGATCCTATTGAGTTGTCTTTTATTCTAGATTGAGTCTTCAGTTATTTAAAAAGGCTGGTGTCCTTCGAGGCTTCTGCTGGTAGAAGGCAGAGAGGAATAATTATGGTCAGGTCTTCAGTGCCACTCTCCTGATCAGAGTTTCATTCCATTCATTCACCAGAAGCATGCCATGAGCACAGTATTGCTCACTTTTGAAATTAAGCCTGGGAATTCTCTTGTGTGATCCGATGTGAGATATGTTTGGCATGTCAAACCCACCAAATTATGAAAACACGTGTTTTTCTCAACCTAAAGGTTGGGACCCCTGGGGGGGTTGTGAGGAGGTTTCAGAGGGGTCACCAAAGACCATCAGAAACCCATTTCTGATGGTCTTAGGAACTCCTTTGGCAGAGAAGGTTGAAGATATCTCCGCCTGTCCTTCTCTTCCTTCAAGGGAGTTCTGTGTGGGAAGTTTGGCCCAATTCTATGTTGGTGGGGTTCAGAATGCTCTTTGATTGTAGGTGAACTATAAATCCCAGCAACTACAACTCCCAAAATGTCAAGGTCTATTTTCCCCAAACTCCAACAGTGTTCACATTTGGGCATATTGAGTATTCATGCCAAGTTTGGTCCAGATCCGTCATTGTTTGAGTCCAAAGTGTCTGAATGTAGGTGAACTACAACTCCAAAACTCAAGGCCCATGCCCACCAAACCCTTCTAGTATTTTCTGTTAGTCATGGGCCTTCTGTGTGCCAAGTTTTGTTCAATTTCCTCGTTGGTGGAGTTCAGAATGCTCTTTGATTGTATGTTAACTATAAATCCCAGCAACTACTACTCCCAAATGTCAAAGTCCCCCCCCCCCCCTATATTCAAATTTGGGAGTATTTGGTATTTTTGCCAAATTTTGTCCAGTGAATGAAAATACATCCTACATATTAGATATTAGATATTTACATTACGATTCATAAGAGTAGCAAAATTAGATATGAAGTAGCAACTAAAATAATTTTATGGTTGAGGGTCATCACAATATGAGGAATTGTATTAAGCAATCACAGCATTAGGAAAGTTGAGAAACACTACTTTAGGGAGAAAGAAGGCGACAACTTTATTTGGTTACATCTGTACTCATGGGTTGGCCATGCAATTGGGCTGAACCACCCATGGTCCCTCAGCCATCAAGGATGTATGGAAAGCTTGTACCCACTGCTGAGCAAGATAATCTCCAAACCACACCCCAAGTCCCCCCACCCTCCCCCAAGATCCTCTACATTCTAGTGTCTGGGATATACTGGTCACACAATCCTGTATCCAAGATCCATTTCAATCACCCTACAAAGCTGTAAGAAAGCAAAATGATACCACCATATTCCCACATGACAAAGAGGAAGGGGGAAACGAAGGCTCAGAGTAAACCGCAGGCATTCACTCCAGCATGAGTTTAAATACCTAACCACCCACCCAGGTTATTGGCTGCATGGGGGAGGGGATGGCTGCCAAGCAGTGGCATGCAGCTCACCATCCATTAGCTACACCTCACCAGTAACAATAAGGAGATGGGACCACATGGTGGCTGGGAGCAAGCAAACTTTGTCTTGCAAGCCAACTTTGAAAACAACACTATAATGGAAGTTCTGGCTATGTTGTAATTAGGTGGTAACTAGATCTAAAATGTGATTATGGGACGTGATTGCATATCTCTTTTTCTTGGGGAATTCCACCACATCCTGGGACACACTTCAGTTAAAACATGCAATGGCCACAATCTAATTGGGGATAGGCTCCACACCTGGAATATTGTGTCCAATTCTGGGCACCACAATTCAAGAGAGATATTGACAAGCTGGAATGTGTCCAGAGGAGAGCGACTAAAATGATTAAGGGTCTGGAGAACAAGCCCTATGAGGAGCGGCTTAAGGAGCTGGGCATGTTTAGCCTGAAGAAGAGAAGGCTGAGAGGAGATATGATAGCCATGTATAAATATGTGAGAGGAAGCCACAGGGAGGAGGGAGCAAGCTTGTTTTCTGCTTCCCTGGAGACTAGGACACGAACAATGGCTTCAAACTACAAGAAAGGAGATTCCATCTGAACATGAGGAAGAACTTCCTGACTGTGAGAGCCGTTCATCAGTGGAACTCTCTGCCCCGGAGTGTGGTGGAGGCTCCTTCTTTGGAAGCTTTTAAACAGAGGCTGGATGGCCATCTGTCAGGGGTGATTTGAATGCAATATTCCTGCTTCTTGGCAGGGGGTTGGACTGGATGGCCCATGCGGTCTCTTCCAACTCTTTGATTCTATGATTCTATGAACTTGAATCTGGTCTATCCACGTAAGAGCATCAAATGGCATAATGGATTTCAATGGGTTATGCTGCAAGAGAGGATATTTTCCATTTTTAATGTATCCTTACTTTTAACATAACATAAAAATCTCTTCACCTCAATAACAAGGCAAGGCTTTTCTCTCTGATGTGCTAGTTTGCTATAGCCAGGCAATGTTCTTTCTGTGTTGTTTTTAATGTGAGATAGGCATTCAAACTCGCAAGGCCTGCTGTGCCCAGTTTAAAAAAAAACATATCATTGGGACCATACAACAGTTTTCATTCCATTCAGTGTAATAATTCTAAAGAATTGCCATAAGCCAGCTGCCCATAAGTGCTATTTAAAGAGCACTCCCCAGCAAGACTTTAGCCCAGGTTGCTTAGCAGGCATCCAGACACTCATATTTGAGACTAATTTTATACAGGTTGAGCCAGCAGGTGGCATCCCACATCAATAAAGATCTGTATCTGTAAAATATTTAACAACATAATTTGGCCATCTAGCTGAAGGAAACATGCCAGGCTCAAGTGATTTATGATTAAAAGGGAGAAGGTAAAGCTTTGGGGAGTCAGAAGAAATATGTGGCTAACAAAGCAGCTATTTAAAGAATCTTTTACAGTTCCTGCCTGCAAGCATGTCATGCCTCTATGATAAAAAGCTGTTGGAAAAATTATAAAGACATTAAATAAAAGGCTTGAGAAAAGGGCAAAGCAACTGTCATGCTTACTTTGACTGCACTGAGAAATGTAATATTGTGCAAAGGGGGCCCTATTGCAATTATTATTGACCTAAAAGGAATTAATTAGAGATGTAGTTTGACTTACTGTCATTTGAGGGTGCCCTCAAATAACAATTTAATAGTACGTTCTGTCACTTCTGTACTGATAACCATAATGAATCACAACTCTCCTTAATGGCAAGTCGTACCAGTGTCAACTTAAGTTTTGCAGCTGTAAGATAAGTCTTAAGAGTGAAGATGCTATCACACCAACCAGCTCTTTTACTACATATCATGTTAAGCATCCTTAAACAGAAACCAGAATATTACTTATTAAGTTTCACAGACTCGGAACTACAATTAAATGAAAATGAGGACAAATTATTTACATATTTTATGACAGCGGCAAGAATATCTTTAGCAAAACTTTGGAAACAAGACTGTACTCCAACCATGGATGAATGGCTGGGGGAAAATTAGAGAAATAAGAGAAATGGATGAACTAACTTTTTTTCTTGAAGAAAAACACTGGGAAACCAATAAAGAGGACAGATTGGACCCTCTTTGGTGAATATGAGAAAGAAAGAAGAGAACAAGAGGAAATTATGTTTGTTTGTTTTTTGAAGTAACTGGAGAATTTAATCAGACTAAAAACCTGAGGATGTGATGGAAGTCATTTTTTTTTAAAAAAACTTCTTTTTTGGTGTGTGTGTATTTTTTCTACTTTTTTTCCTCTTTTTTATTTTTTCCTTTTTTTATTTCCTATTTTCCTACTTTTCTATCTTCTTACAAATATTCCCCCTCTTTCGCTGTAACTTTATAATATTCTAATAAAAATCATTTAAAAAGAAAAGCATCCTTAAAATCTCACCCCTCTTCATGATTGCAACAACTCACCATTCTGTGATAACATATCTATACTTCCGCACAACCTCATGACCCTATCTCCCCACACTACTGTGTTGTTGTCATCGTTGTCATTGTCATTGTTGTTATGCAATTCCAGCATAAGCAACAGAAAAGGAATAAAAAAAATTATAAAATAAAAGGGATAAGGCCACCTTGGGCACATTTGAGGGGAAAGCGAAGAGGGGAAATCCTACCTCCACCCCCATATTACTTTATTGCTGGCATACTGGCAGAAAAGTAGAAGGAACCTATCGTACAAAGTAGTGTGGTGAGAATGTTGCAGAACTGGGACCTTTTGAGGGGTTTTATCTATTAATATCTATGGATTTTACAAATTAATAGGGATGGACGAATCACAAGGAAAGGGAGCAAGAGACAAACCAGCAGCAGGGTGCACATAGCAAATGTGATAGTCCAGTTGCAATGCTGGTTTGCTTGCCTCATGTGATAAAGTCTGGATCTTGGAAAAGAACCTTGGAAAGACATCTATGAGATCTTCCTATGTAAACATATATCATCGGGTTCCAAAGTCAGGATCATTTATCATTTGTCAAAATACACGACCTTGTGCTATTCTTTTCCATTTCTAGCCGAATA